AATCTAGATACGTTAGAATTTCTAAAATCTATAGAATATTCAAAATCTCTAGTGACGGAATTTTAGGAATTTGTGGAATCCTAGGAATCTTTAAAGTCTTCAGAATTTTTGGGATTTTCGGTCTTCGAAATAATCAGTTTGCGAATATCCCAAATCTTTGGAATTTCTAAAAACTCTGAAATTTTTGGAATTTTTAAAACTTTTGGAACCTTGAGTTTTCGAATCATTTAGTAACTTCAAAATCTCTTGGATATCTAGAATTTCGAAACGCTCTTTGATCTCTAGAATTTGTAAATTATATAGACTCTAGATTCGTGAGAATCTCTAAAATATGTAGAATATATAAAATATTCAAAATTTTCATATTCTTTAAAATCATTAAAATCTCTCGAGTCTCGGAATATCCAGAATTTTTGGGGTTACAGAAATTTCTGAAACCTTTGGAATCTTTTGAAATTTTTATAATCATCAAATTTTCGATGGTTTCGAAATCTTCAAAATTTTTAGTATTTTCTTGTCTTTGAATATCCAGAATGTTTAGGATGTCTGAAATAACTGAAACCTTTAGATCTTTATAATTTTCAGAATTTTTAGTCTTCAAACTATTCAGAATCTTTAGAATCTCTGAATTATCCAGACTCTCGGAATATCCAAAATATTTGTAATCTCTGGAATCTCTGAAATTTTTATAATCTTCAGAATTTTTGAAATGTTCAGTCTTCGAAATACTCAGAATTTTCATATTCTTTAGAATCTTAAGAATATTTAGTGTTTCTGTAATCTTTAGCTTCGAAATTTAAAATTTCTGGAATTTGTGGAATCTCTGGAATTTTTGAAATCGTCAGAATATTTATAATCCTGGGAATTTTCAGTCTTCAGAATTTTTAGGATCTTCATATTAAAAAACTTTATATTGTTTAAAATCATTGAAATCTCTCGAGTCTCGGAATATCCAGAATCTTTGAGATCACTGAAATTTCTGAAAACTTTGGAATCTTTATAATCTTCGATATCTTCAAAATTTTTGAAATATTCAGTCTTCGAAATCTTCAGAATCTCTGGAATTTCTTGACTTTGAAGAATCTTTAGGATTTCTGGAATAACTGAAATCTTTAGATTTTTATAATCTTCAGAATTTTTGGGATCTTCAGGTTTCGAAATACTCAGAATTTTTATATTTTGTAGAATCTTTGGAATATATAGTCTCGGAATATCTTTGGAGTCTCAGAATCCTCGTATTCGTTAAAATCTCTGGAATTATTAGTATGAAATTTTCCGAAATCTTTAGTTTTCATCATTTTTAGAATCTCCAATCTTCGAATCTCTGGAATCTTTAGAGTCTCAGAATATCCGGTATTTTTGAAATTTATGGAATCTTCAAATTCTTCAGAGTTTTTGTGATCTTTGGTCTTCCAAATATTCAAAATCTTTGGAATCTCGGGATTTCTAGTCTTTGAATATCTGGAATCTTTGACCCTTCGAAATCTTTGTAATCTTCAGAATTCTGAAGAATTCTTCAAAAATTTTTGGGACCTTCAGTTTTCGAAATATTCAGAAACTTCAGAATCTGTAGAATTTTTAGAATCCAAAACCTCTCGAATCGCTAGAATCTCAAACTTTATGGTCTCTAGAATCTGTATTTTAGTTGAAATCTAGTCGTTAGAATCTCTAAAATCTGTAAAATTTATAGAATATTCAAAATCTTCAGAATATTTAGAGCTTTTAGCATCTCTAGGCTCGGAATTTTTGGAATGTTTGGATTTTCTGGAATCTATGAAATCTCTAAAATATTAATAATCATGCGAATCTTTAAAGTCTTCAGAATTTTTGGGACTTTCAGTCTTCGAAATATTCAGTTTCCGAATATCCCAAATCTTTGGAATGTCTAAAAACTCTGAAATCTTTGGAATCTCCTGAACTTTTGGAACCTTCAGTTTTCGAAATATTTAGAAACTTCAAAATCTGTAAGATCTGTAGAATCTCGAGACGCTTTGTGGTCTCTAGAATCTGTAGATTATTTAGCCTATAGATTCGTTAGAATTTCTAAAATATGTAGAATATACAGAATATTCAAAATTTTCATATTCTTGAAAATCACTGAAATCTCTCGAGTCTCGGAATATCCAGAATTTTTGGGATTACCGAAATGTCCGAAATCTTTGGAATCCCTATAATCTTCAAAATCTCAAAATTTTTAGGATTGTCTTGTCTTTGAATATCCAGAATGTTTAGGATTTCTGAAATAACTGAAATCTTTAGATCTTTATAATTTTAAGAATTTTTAGAATTTTCAGTCTTCGAAATATTCAGAATATTTCGAATATGTGGATATTATCTAGACTCTCGGAATGTCCAAAATATATGGAATCTCTGAAATCTTTATAGTCTTCAGAATTTTTGGAATGTTCAGTCTTCGAGATACTTAGAATTTTCATATTCTTTAGAATCTTCAAAATATTATTGTTTCTGGAATCTTTAGTTTCGAAATTTCGGGAATTTGTGTAATCTCTGGAACCTTTGAAATCGTTAGAATATTTATAATCCTGGGAATCTTCAGCCTTCAGAATTTTTAGCATCTTCAGCCTTGAAAATAAACTGTTCATACTGTTTAAAATCAATGAAATCTCTCGAGTCTCAGAATATCCAGAATTTGTGAGATTAATGATTAATCTTTATAACCTTCAAAATCTTCGATATCTTCAACATTTTTGGAATATTCAGTCTTCGAAATCTTCAGCATCTCTGGAATCGCTTGGCTTTAAAGAATCTTTAGGATTTCTGGAATAACTGAAATTTTTAGATCCTTATAATCTTCAGAATTTTTTAGATTTTCAGGCTGCAAAATACTCAAAATTGTCATATTCTTTAGAATCTTTGGAATATCTAGCCTAGGAATATCTTTGGAGTCTCTATAAAGTTCAGAATCTTCGTATTCGTTAAAATATTTGGAATCATTAGTGTGGGATTTTCCGAATTCTTTAGTTTTCATAATTTTTGGAATCTCCAGTCTTCGAATCTCTGGAATCTTTAGAGTCTCAGAATAGTCGTTATTTTTGAAATTTGTGGAATCGTCAAATTCTTCAGTTTTTGTTATCTTTGGTCTTCGAAATATTCAAAATCTTTGGAATCTTTGGATTTCTAGTCTCTGAATATCCGAAATTTTTGAAATTTCTGGAATCTTTGACCCTTCGAAATCTTTGTAATCTTCAGAATTCTGAAGAATTCTTCAAAAATTTTTGGGACTTTCAATTTTCGAAATATTCAGAAACTTCAGAATCTGTAGGATTTTTAGAATCTAAAACCTCTATTTTAATGTATAGAAAATCTTCAGAATATTTAAAGTTTCTAGAAACTCTAGTCTCGGAATTTTCGGAATTTGTGGAGTTTCTGGAATCTATGAAATCTAAAATATTAATAATCCTGCGAATCTTCAGTCTTCAGAATTTTTTGGATTTTCAGAATCTCTAGAAGCTGTACATTACTTAGAATTTACAAACGTTAGCATTTCTAAAATCTATAGAATATATAGAATATTCAAAATCTACTTGAATCTCTAGTTATGGAATTTCCGGAATCCTAGGAATCTTTAAAATTTTGAGAATTTTTAGGATTTCAGTCTTCGAAATATTCAGTTTGCGAATAACCCAAATCTTTCGAATTCCTAAAAACTCTGAAATCTTTGGAATCTTCAGAACTTTGGAACCTTCAGTTTTCGAAATATTTAGAAACTTCAGAATCTGTAGGATCTCTAGAATCTCGAAACGCTCTGTGGTCTCTAGAATCTGTAGATTATTTAGACTACAGATTCGTTATAATCTCTAAAATATGTAGAATATACAGAATCTTCAATATTTTCATATTCTTGAAAATCACTGAAATCTCAAAATTTTTTGGAATATTCAGACTTCGAAATCTTCAGAATTTTTAGGATTTTTTCGTCTTTCAATATCCAGAATTTTTAGAATTTTCAGTTTTCGAAATATTCAAAATACTTTAGAATCTGTGGATTATGTAGACTCTCGGAAATATTTGGAATCTCTGAAATCTTTATAGTCTTCAGAGATTATAATACTCAGAATTTTCATATTCTTTAGAATCCTTGGAATATTTAGTCTCGGAATATCTCTGGAATCTTTATGGGGCGGGTGGACGGGGTTAATATGTTGGCTTCTTTTCTTAATATACATAGTTTTCTTTGAACAACCCGATACTCAAAAACAGATTTTTAATTTCTTGTATAGAAATGAGTATTTTGCAGTTAAGCTCCGCCCTCTTGGTTCACGACGAATAAAAAATCACAATTGAGATAGGGCGGGTGGGCGGGCTTATATTTTGCCGTGTTGTTTTAATATAATATGTAGACTTCTTTTCACAACATGAAACTTAAATCATGTTTTAAAATGGTAAATTTTTGTAGGGATATCGATTTTGCAATTATGCTGCGCCCCTTAATGTGACAATGACTGAAAAATTCATCACAATTGAAATCGGGGCGGGTATAGGTGGAGCTTAATCTTTGACTTTCTTTTTTACTTAATACATAACTTAAGATTATGTTTCACTTGGTAATTTTTGGGAAAAAATTGAGGATTGCAACTGAGCTCCACCCCTCGGCTCACGACGAATAAAAAAATCATCACAATTGAGATGGGGCGGGTGGGCGGGGTTTATATTTTGTGTTTTTTTTTTTCTTAATATACATAGAATTATTTGAAGAACCCGATACTCAAAAACAATTAATTAATTTCTTGTAAAGATATCAAAATTTGATTTTTGTGGAATTAGTGCTGTCAACCAGAAAAATGTCAGGGGATTTTCCTTCAGGTTGGCAGCACTGCACCCTACCGCAATCTGATTGGTTGAAAACCCAACGTCAGCGACAAGTTCATAAATCGACCTTTACTCACCAGACGAAACAAAAAAATTGCCGTAGTAGTACCAAATGACTTTATTAATTTAAATTTTACTACTTACATAGGTATCTAAAGGAATAAAATCACAGATATATTGATTATTGTTTAACAGATAGTAATAACTATGACTTAACTCTATAAAAATATTGAATAAAACACTTCAATATGAAACAATCATCCAAAGGTATCACAAATAATTCTTTACAAGGAAACATTAACTTTCTCAATGATCCAACAACGAAAGATGTTACATCTGCATACAAATAAGTCGTATATAAATATAAAAGTAGTTTAAAGAATACACCAATGCAGTAGACAAAATTACTTTAGCTATAACACATTTAAGAGTCAGTAGCTTATCAGATATTCCGACATTTCAAAGTTCCATAAATCAAAAGAAAACTCTCTTATGATACAACATCGATTTCCCTAGGTGAAGCTAAAGCAGGTGGCACCACTTGCGGGATAATGTTGTGTGATGGTGAATTTCCTAACGGTTGCCTCATTTTAACCTGGGCGTTCTCCTTGGCTTCTAACGTGGCCTGCTTTATAGCCTCCTTGTATGGACCGCGTTTCTTTTTGTTATAACGTATCTACAAAAAAAATATTTTTCACACGAACGAATCTCGCTTTAACTCACCTTAAAATTTTCTAAATATGGACTTAATTGATCACACTGCATTAGTGACGACGTAGAGGAACCATACCATGCGACGTGTGCCTGCGGCCCTTGGCCGCCACAGTTTGTGATGGTCAGGACTTTGCCCGGCCACCACGGAAAGCCGTGAATTTTGCCCCAGACCACGTCACCGACCAACATTCGCCCCCCTGCATACACATTAAATGGCCAATTTGAGAGGGGTTTTAAGGCCAACACTCACCGTCTGCCGTCGGTGCGCTAGATAGGGTTTGGGAGTTAATACGTAGCATTATTGGAGGTGTCGGGGGCGGGAAGTCGGGGACCTGTTCGCTGTGTTCATCTGAACTGGACGTATTTTCTTCTGCGGTTTTCTCCGAGGGAGCGGGAAATGATGCGTAGGTGTTGTTAAGTCGTTTTAAGTTAATTGACAGTTTTTGGGTTATGCACTGTTCCTTGGGATCCTCTTGAGTTGAGCTGACCTGGGGGATTTTATTGAGGATTAAGTGGAATTGTGATTAAAATTAAGTTGAGGGGTAAATGTCAGTATGAAAACCGCTCTTACTTTAAATTTTCAGCAATAATATGAAGTTTTTTTTGTAAAAATTGATGAAAAATGTGCATTTTATAAACCTATAACTTTTAAAATCAAGTACATCTTTAAAAAAATACGTCTTTTAATTATTATTATTGTTGACATTTTGCGCAAGATTGTGGAGGGGATAAATATTAATTAACGATTTACCATGTTTAGATTGAAAGCAGTCCGTTGTTTCAAATTTTTCGTTTTTTCTGTGTTTCGATATTTAAGTCTATAAATTTTCGACTTTTAAATGTTTGATTTTTCAATTTTTCAATTACATATTCGATTTTTCAATTTTCCAGTTTTTCGATTTGGCAATTTCTTTATTTTTTCAATTTTTCGATTTCTCAATTCCTAGATATTTCAATTTTTAAATGATTGATTTTCCAATTACGTAACTTACAAATTGTACAATTTTTCGATTTTTCGATATCTCCAAGTTTTCAATGTTTCAATTACATAATTTTTGATTTTTCAATTTTTCAACATTTGAATTTTTCCATTTTTACATTTCTGATTACTCAATTTTTTGTTGTCCTAATTTTTGAACTTCTAAATATTTTAATTTTTCGATTTATAAATGTTTGATTTTTCAACTTTTGAAAATTTCGAGTTTTTTTTTGGATATCTTCAATTTTTGAATTCGGGTTTTTCAATTTTTAATTACTTATTCAAGTTTTCAGTTTCTGTTATGAAATTTGGGATTTTTTGATATCAATTTTTTTTTTCCATTTCTTAATTTTTAAATTTTTCGATTCCCACTTTTTCGTTTTTCGATGGTTCGGTTTTAAGAATTTTGGTTTTTTTAGAGTATCACATTCATAGAACTTTAATTTTTTTATTTTTCGATTTTTCAATTTTTCCAATTTTCGACTTTTCGAATTTGATTAATCGAATTCTTGATTTTCAATTTTTGGAATTTCCGATTTTTCGATATTCTAATTTTCATTGTTCTTACGTTCCGATTTCCCGATTCCTCAATTTTTCGCCTCCCGATTTTTCGGTTGTTCGAATTTTTGTTTTTTGGAATATCTGATTTCGTCGAATTTTCGATTTTTCAATATTGAATTTTCATTTTCTTTTTAGTTTTCGATTTTTTTTAATTTTTTTCGTTCATTCTTTCTATTTTTCAATTTTTTTAGTATTCTCAATTTTTGATTTCTTCATTTCTAATTTTTCAGTTTTCCCCTTTTTCGTTTTTTTTTGGAATATCTGATTTATCGAATTGTCGATTTTTCAATTTTCAGTTTTTAAACTTTTTAATTTTTTAACTTTTCGATGTTTCGAATTTTCGATTTCTCGATTCTGGATTTCTCCAATTTTCATTTTTTCGAAATTTCGGAAAAATTTTGTTTTTTTGGAGTAACAAATTTATCGAACTTTAATTTTTTTATTTTTCGATTTCACGAGTATTCGATTTTTCAATTTTTCCAATTTTTGATTTTTTAGATTTTTCGAATTTGATTAATCGAATTTTCGATTTTTCAATACTAAATTTCCATATTTTCTTTTTACTTTTCGATTTTTATTTTTTCGTCTTTTAATTATTGTTATTGTTTGCATTTTGCGCAATATTCTAAGAATCTTTCAATGCTTCAATTACATAATTTTTGATTTTTTCCATTTTTACATTTCTCAATTCCTAGATATGTCAATTTTTAAATGATTGATTTTCCAATTACGTAACTTTCAAATTGTACAATTTTTCGATATCTCCAAGTTTTCAATGTTTCAATTACATAATTTTTGATTTTTCAATTTTTCAACATTTGAATTTTTCCATTTTTACATTTCTGATTACTCAATGTTTTGTTGTCCTAATTTTTGAACTTCTAAATATTTTAATTTTTCGATTTATAAATGTTTGATTTTTCAACTTTTGAAAATTTCGAGTTTTTTTTGGATATCTTCAATTTTTGAATTCGGGTTTTTCAATTTTTAATTACTTATTCAAGTTTTCAGTTTCTGTTATGAAAAGTAAAAAAAAATGAAAAAAGTGAAAAATCGATAATTCGATAAATCAAATATTCCAAAAAAAAGGGAAAGTTGTAAAAATCAAAAATTGGAAATACTGAAAAAATTGAAAAATCTTCCGAAAAGTCGAAAAATCAAAAAATGTAAAAGAAAAAACTGAAAAACAGAAAGAATGAATGAAAAAATTCAAAAATCGAAAAGTAAAAAGAAAATGAAAATTCAGTATTGAAAAATCGAAAATTCCATGCACAAATTCGAAAAATCGAAAATTGGAAAAACTGAAAAATCGAAAACTCGTGAAATCGTAAAATAAAAAAATTAAAGTTCGATGAATGTGATACTCCAAAAAAAACAAAATTCTTAAAACCGAACAATCGCAAATCGAAAAAGCGGGAATCGAAAAATTTTAAAATTAAGAAATGGAAAAGTAAAAAAAAAATTAAAATTTGATATCAAAAAATCCGAAATTTCAAAAAATTGAAAATTTTAGAAATTCAGAATCGAGAAATCGAAAATTCGAAACATCGAAAAGTAAAAAAACTGAAAAGTTTAAAAACTGAAAAATCTTCAGGAAAGTCGAAAAATTAAAAAATTAAGAATTCGAAAAGAAAAAAAATGAAAATTTGATATCGAAAAATCCAAAATTCTAAAAATTAAAATTTTGAGAAATGGAAAATTCGTGACATCGAAAAGTTTAAAAAATTAAGAAGGTTAAATAAAAATTAAAAACTGAACAATGAAAAAAATTGAAAAATCGAGAATTTGATAAATCAGATACATATCCCAAAAAAACGAAAAAAGGGAAAATTGAAAAATCAGAAATGAAAATATCGAAAATTATAAAACTCAAACATTGGAAATACTGAAAAAATTGAAAAATCTTCCAAAAAGTCGAAAAATCAAAAAATCGAAAAGAAAAAATTAAACAATATAAAGAATGAACGAAAAAAAATCAAAAATCGAAAAGTAAAAAGAAAATGAGAATTCAGTATTGAAAAATCGAAAATTCGATGAATCAGATATTCCAAAAAGAAAAATTCGAAAAACTGAAAAAGCGGGAGTCGAAAAATTGAGAAACCGAAAAATAAAAAAATTAAAGTTCCATGAATGTGATACTCCAAAAAAAAAACCGAACAATTGCAAATCGAAAAAGCGGGAATCGAAAAATTTAAAAATTAAGAAATGGAAAAGTAAAAAAAATGAAAATTTGATATCAAAACATCCGAAATTTCGAAAAATTGAAAAGTTTAAAAACTGAAAAATCTTCAGGAAAGTCAAAAAATCAAAAAAATTAAGAATTCGAAAACAAAAAAAAAAAAAATGAAAATTTGATATCGAAAAATCCAAAATTCGGGACACCGAAAAATAAAAAAATTTAAAGTTTAAGAACTGAAGAATGAAAAAACTGAAAAATGCGGAACAACTAAAAAATTTCAAAATCTTCCGGAAAGTCGAAAATTCAAAAATCGAAAAAATTAATTAAGTAAAAAAAATTGCAAAGTTTAAAAACTGAAAAATCTTCAAGAAAGTCGAAAAACCAAAAAACTGAGAACCCGAAGAGCAAAGAAATTAAAATTTGATATCAAAAAATCGAAAATTCGAGAAACCGGAAAAAATGTAAATTTAAGAGCTGAGACAACTGAAAAAATTGAAAAGTCGAAAAAATGAATGGAAAAATCGAAAGATCGAAAAGTAAAAGAAATGAATATTCAATATTGAAAAATCGAAAATTTGATGAATCATTTTCATTCCAGAAAACAAAAATTCGAAAAACCGAAAAATCCGGAGTCGAAAAATCGAAAAAACGGAAAAAGGAAAAATGAAAAAATCGAAAATTGGAAAAATTGAAAAATCGAAAAATAAAAAAAAAATAAAAGTTCGATGAATCTGATACTCGAAAAAACGAAAATTCGAAAAACCGATAAATCGGGGGTCGAAAAATTGACAAATACAATTTTCCGATTTTTGATTTTTCAATTTTCCAGTTTTTCGAGTTGGCAATTTCTTTATTTTTTCAATTTTTCGATTTCTCAATTCCTAGATATTTCAATTTTAATTTTAAATGATTGATTTTTCAATTACCTGACTTACAATTTTTCGATTTTTCGATATCTTCAATCTTTCATTGTTTCAATTACACCATTTTTGATTTTCAATTTTTCATTTTCAAAGTTTTCAATTTTTCAACATTTGAATTTTACATTTCTGATTACTCAATTTTTTGTTGACCGAATTTTTGAACTTCTAAATATTTTAATTTTTAAATTTTTCGATTTGCGATTGTTCGATTTTAAGAATTTTGTTTTTTTTGGAGTATCAGATTCATCGAACTTTAACTTTTTTATTTTTCGATTTCTCGAGTTTTCGATTTTTCAATTCTTCCAATTTTCGATTTTTCGAATTTAATTCATCGAATTATCGATTTTCAATTTATGGAATTTCCGATTTTTCAGTTTTCTAATTCTTACTTTCTTACTTTTCGATTTGCCGATTTCTCGATTCTGGATTTCTCAAATTTTCAATTTTTCGAAATTTGGGATTTTTTGATATCAAATTTTAATTTTTTTTTGTTTTTCCATTTCTTAATTTTTAAATTTTTTGATTCCCACTTTTTCGTTTTTCGATGGTTCGGTTTTAAGAATTTTGGTTTTTTTAGAGTATCACATTTTTCAATACTAAATTTCCATATTTTTTTTACTTTTCGATTTTTATTTTTTTCGTCTTTTAATTATTGTTATTGTTGGCATTTTGCGCAATATTCTAAGAATCTTTCAATGCTTCAATTACATAATTTTTGATTTTTTCCATTTTTACATTTCTGATTACTCAATTTTTTGTTGTCCAAATTTTTGAACTTCTAAATATTATGTGTTTGATTTTTCAACTTTTGAGAATTTCTAGTTTATAATTTTTGGGTATCTTCATTTTCTGAATTCTGTTTTTTCAATTTTTAATTACTTATTCAAGTTTTCAGTTTCTGTTCTGAAAAGTAAAAAAAATTGAAAATTTGATATCGAAAGATCCAAAATTCAAAAAATTGAAAATTTGAGAAATGGAAAATTCGAGACATCGAAAAGTTAAAAAATTAAAGTTTAAAAACTGAACAATGAAAAAATTGAAAAATCGAGAATTCGATAAATCATATATTCAAAATAAATAAATAAATAAAAAAAGGAAAAATTGTAAAAATCAAAAATTGGACATACTGAAAAAATTGAAAAATCTTCCGAAAAATCAAAAAATCGAAAAGAAAAAACTGAAAATTAAAAAGAAAATATGAAAAATTAGTATTGAAAAATCGAAAATTCGATGAATCAAATTCGAAAAATCGAATTCTTCCGAAATTTCGAGATAATGAAAATTTGAAAAATCCAGAATCGAGAAAGCGAAAATTCGAAACATCGAAAAGTTAAAAAATTAAAAAGTTTAAAAACTGAAAATTGAAAAATCGAGAATTCGATAAATCAGATATTCCAAAAAAACGAAAAAGGGGAAAATTGAAAAAATGAACGGAAAAAACTGAAAAAAATCGAAAACTAAAAAAAAAATAGAAAATTCGACGGAATCAGATATTCCAAAAAACAAAAATTCGAGCAACCGAAAAATCGGGAGGCGAAAAATTGAGGAATCGGGAAATCGTAAACGTAAGAACAATGAAAATTAGAATATCGAAAAATCGGAAATTCCAAAAATTAAAAATCGAAAATTCCATGCATCAAATTCGAAAAGTCGAAAATTGGAAAAATTGAAAAATCGAACAATAAAAAAATTAAAGTTCTATGAATGTGATACTCCAAAAAAACCAAAATTCTTCCGAAATTTCGAAAAATTGAAAATTTGAAAAATCCAGAATCGAGAAAGCGAAAATTCGAAACATCAAAAAGTTAAAAAATTTAAAAAAATTGAAAAATCGAGAATTCGATAAATCAGATATTCCAAAAAAACGAAAAAGGGAAAAATTGAAAAAGTCGAAAAATCGAAAAAGTGAATGGAAAAATCGAAAATTCGATGAATCAGATATTCCAAAAAACAAAAATTTGAAAAACCGAAAAATTGGGAGTCGAAAAATTGAAAAATCGAAAACCCGAGAAATAGAGAAATAGAAAAATTAAACGTTCGATGAATGTGACACCCGAAAAAACGAAAATTCGAAAAACCGAACAATCGAAAAAGCGGAAATCAAAAAATTTAAAAATGAATAAGTAAAAAAAAATTGAAAATTTGATATCAAAAAATCCAAAATTCGAGACACTGAAAAGTAAAAAAAAATTGTAAAGTTTAAGAACTGAAGAATGACAAAATTGAAAAATCAAAAATTCGGAAAAACGAAAAAATTGCAAAATCTTCCGATAAGTAGAAAAATAAAAATTTTGAAAAATCGAAAAATTCAAAATTCGAAAAATAAAAAAAACTGAAAAATCAGAAGTCGAAAAATTGAAAAAAAGGGAAATCTAACAGTATAAGCAAAGAAAATTCGAATATCGAAAATTCCAAAAATTGAAAATCGAACATTCGATGAATGAAATTCGAAAAAAGGAAAAATAAAAAGATCGAAAATTGAAAAATCGAAAATTCGATATTAGAAAAATAGAAAAAAACGAGAAATAGAAAAATCGAAAAACTGGAGAGTTTGAAAACTGAAGAATTTTCAGGAAAGCAGAAAAATCAAAAGCATTCAGAACTCGAAAAGCAAAAAATTCGGAAAAACGAAAAAGTTGCAAAATCTTCCGTAGTCAAAAAATCAAAAAATTGAAAAATCGAAAAAATGAATGGAAAAATTGAAAGATCAAAAAGTAACACAAAATGAAAATTCAATATTGAAAAATCGAAAATTCTATGAGTCAGATATTCCAAACAACAAAAATTTGAATCCAAAAAACAAAAATTTGAAAAACCGAAAACGATTTATCAATTATAAAGTTTTCAGTTTTTCAACATTTGAATTTTTCCATTTTTACATTTCTGATTAACCCATTTTTTTGAATTTCTAAATATCTATTTCAAGTTTTCGTTTTTTAAATGTTTGATTTTTCAACTTTTGAATTTTTCAAGTTTACAAATTTTCGGTATCTTCAATTTTTGAATTCTGATTTTTCAATTTTTAATTTTAACCTACTTATTCGAGTTTTCAATTTCTATTTTTAATTTTCCAATTAATCAGTTTTTCAATGTCTCAATTTTATAATTTTTCGAAAATTCAAAATACTGAAAAAGTAAAAACCGAAAAATCGCAAAAATGTAATATCTAAAATATGAAAACTTGGGAAATGAAAATAAAAAAAAGAAAAATCGAAACTGACATGTACGAAAATGGATAAAAATAAACGAACTGAAAAATTCAAAATTTGAAAAATCTTAACCAAATAACTTTCTTAAAAAAATTTAAATGAGAACTTGTAAACATTCTCTGCCAAAAAAACAAGTGTGATGATACTAAGCGATAAGTTTCCAAATAACTGATAACCTTGAAGTTTGAAGATAACAATTAAAGTGATTTTAACTTCATAGAATAAACAAAGTAACATTTTCCCAGAGCAACACCGAAAATTGATAAAAAATAGGTGAAACACCCTGTATATAATGAAACCATGAGGCGAAAGAATAAAAGAATTCTTTTTAATTCTAAAATTTGTGTATAGTTTCTCATTTACAAAAAAGCAGATCTTGTAATAATTCATAAACTTTATCTTGACATGGTACAAGTCCTGGGTACCACGGAAGGATATCACATTTTTTCGACTAGAAACCACACGCAATCCCACAGCATCGTCTTCATTCGCTCTGTAACGTCAAAATAAAGTTTACAAATAACCCAAAAAGTGCTTTTGTGTTTATAAGAAAATGAATAGAATTTTCCTTGACAACTACACCCTATGAAGTCTCACCTCTCCTTCTTTGTGTTTCCTATCTTTGTCGTCCTTATGTTTCTTTTTATGTTTCATTTTGTGCTTTCTTCTTCTTGGTAGACTTAAATCGTACGAAGTACACATATACCTAGGGGAATTATTCCCCAAGCCGTGCCTCGGTGAGGCACTCCCCACCGTATACCTCGGCGACGAGCCGCCAATGGTGTACCTCGGCGAGCCATTCCCCAAATAACAGGGCGAACTCCCCGTCAGAAACACCTTCCTCCTCGCCTCCTTCTTGGCCTTCTTCAGCGCCTTCCTCGCCGCCTTATTACCCAAACTCTTCCCTTCCTCACTATTACTAACATTCACATTCTCTTCAGTATCCTTCTTCAGGTTGAGATTTTCGATTTGTGCGGGTATTTTAAGTACAGTTCCTTCCCCCTGTGGTCCATAGGAAATTTTTATTGTCTTCGTGTTAATGGAGAGATTGCTTGCATTCAGCGTTTGATCATCTGTCGCGTTCGTTTGAGCGTTATTGTTATTTTTATTGGCGTTTTCCTCGAACACACTCTCATCCCACAAATCCTCCATCGAGCCCACGCTGCGCTTCTTCCTCAAAATCCGCTTAGCGGACTTCGAGGCGTTGCACAGCGCCTCGCTCTGCACGTCGTCCGAGTTGGAACTGTCTTCGGAATGGTCGGAGGAATGTTTTTTCTCTTCTTGGGTGTTTTCTTTGTTGACCGAAACCGCGGCTAGCGGTTTCTTGAAAGGGCTTTTGCTGTCGCTGGTGCAAACCTTCACGCTTCCTCCGTTCAACGCGGTCATTTCTTCCTGAGGCGTGAGCCGAGTGAGGCGCGGGACGAGAGTCGCTTCTCCTAGTTTTTTCTTATTGGTGAGCTCGGTGTGAATGGAGACCGATCGAGTGATGGGAGCGTTTAAACCTCGCTTGACGGGAGGGTTGGGGTGAACACTTTCGCTTGTTTTACGTTTACGAGACACATTTTCCGAGTTTTCGTTACAAATGCCTTTGCATTTCGAACAGAGAACTTGCCGGGGCCGAAGTCGTACGGTCATTTTGTTGTTTTTGTATTTGCTGGGGATTTGTACATTCTTTTTTTTCGCGGTGGTGGGGTCTGTGTAGGCGAATCTTTGGTTGACGGAGTACAGAGTATCATCTTCAGGTTTCGGTTTTACTTTGAAAGCTGGATTGAGGGTTTGGATCCCACATGGCAAGTTTCTAGGAAAAGAAAAGCGAATTAGTCGATAAACGACCTTTGCACCCAATGAAAAACTGCAACTAGTATTAGTACGACACAAATATGCAAATAGTACGTCACTGTGCTTCAAAGTTTTCATTCTAAATGGGGGCCCTAACCGATCCTAACCTCACTCACACCACGAAAACGCCCAAATCACCCAAGTTTGACCGCACTAACCCATCGAATGAAGCCCCAAAGCACTACGCACTCTTCTTACACACTTTTTTTTCCTGCAAGGGCAGCTACTGACAATGGATTTTGGCTCACCTTTTCGTGGAATCGAGCAGGACTCCTTTAAAAATTTTGACGCCGAATTCGTACGTTACAACTAAAATGTCTGGTAAGGCTTCGTCGACGAAAACTGAAATTCTTGTCCTTTTTAATAACTGAATGTCCTTACAACTTTCTTGGTCCGCCATATTTGAAAAACGGACATTGGAACGAACAATAATAATAATAATGGGTTTTGGGTTTTAAAAGGATACGCCTGTTTTGCGAATTTGCGTGGAATTAACGAAACGACGGATAAATGCTGTGCACAAAATCGTGGAAGATAACACTGGTGTGACGGATGTTGTCAAATTTTAAATTTTTACGGATTATTTGATCATCCAATGGTGGCGGATTAAGGCATGAAATGGACATTGGTGTTTCTATTGGCAACACTGGCACGTTTTTAAGTGGCGAAATTTTCGTAAATAATGTGGAAATTTTTGATCAGGAAAGACGCAAAAGTGCACGTGTGGTCGTATTTCAGTGTCGGAGAAGTGGATGAGGGAATTTCGGGTTTGGGGGTCGCATGAAATGGAAAGTAAACAAGCAGGGGCGTAGCAAGTAGGGGGCTGAAGGGCGACCAATGTGAGTACAGTCAAATTAAAAAGCAAGCGAAATTCAAAACATGTCCTAGAACGATTTAAAAAAAAAAATAACTTCAATAAAGAATAAAATCCCTGAAAATTTTTTGCATTGTGGAGGAGCTGATTATTATTGCTTGCAATTGTGTCATGGATTTTTGAACATTTGTCTTTGATCAAATTTTCATCTTGTTAAATTAGTGTCAGGTTGAAAATTTGAGAATTGCTTGTTGATCACGCTGGAATATAGTATATGAAATTAAGTGCAACTTTTGTGATTTCACTTCTTTATGTATTTTATGTATTGGGATATTGGAAATAATCAAGGTTTGTAGTAGTGCCATATACTTTATGTCGATAATAATCTCCTTATAACATGGTAAATTTTCGTAGAGAAATGTATTTTTAAAAAAGGCTAAATATAAGCCCCGCCCACCCACCCTCATCTCAATTCGGATTAATTTTTCATTCCTTGTCAGACCGAGGGGCGGAGCGTAATTGCAAAATCCATATTTGCTTAAAATTTACCAATTTAATAAAGTTTGAAGTCTTCGGTTGTGAAAAGAAAACTACGTACAGTAAAAAACACAAAACAAAATGCAAGCCCCGCCCACCCGCCCTATCTGAACTATGATGATTTTTTGTGCATGGGTGGGGCTTATTTTTTGCCTTATTTTTAGTATACCTAATTTTTTTTCATAACAAGAAACTGAAAACAAGTTCAAAATGGTAAAATTTTGTAAGGAAATGCTGATTTTGCACATAAGCTCCGCCCCCTGGCACACGACGAATAAAAAATAAAATCGTCACAATTGAGGTGGGGTGGGCGGGCGGGGCTTATCTTTTGACTTTGTTTTTTTCTTAATAATCGTAATCTTCTTTCTACAATAATAAACTTAAAACATGGTCAAAATGCTAAATTTTCGTAGTGAAATATATTTTAAAAACAGGCAAAATATAGGCCCCGCCCACCCACCCTCATCTCAATTCGGATTAATTTTTCATTCCTTGTCAGATCGAGGGGCGAAGCATTATTGCAAAATCCATATTTGCTTAAAAAAATATACAAATTTGATAAAGTTTTAAATCTTTGGTTGTAAAAAGAAAACTACGTACAGTAAAAAACACAAAACAAAATGCAAGCCCTGCCCACCCGCCCTATCTCAACTATGCTGATTTTGTATGCATGGGCGGAGCTTATATGTTACCTTTTTTTAGTTTACGTAATTTTCTTTTCATAATGAAAAACTGAAAACAAGTTCAAAATGGTAAAATTTTGTAGGGAAATACTGATTTTCCAATTAAGCTCCGCCCCCTGGCCCACAACGAATAAAAAATAAAATCGTCACAATTGAGGTGGGGAGGGTGGGCGGGGCTTATCTTTTGACTTTTGTTTTTTTCTTAATATTCGTAATCTTTTTTCTACAATAACTAACTTAAAACATGGTCAAAATGGTAAATTTTCGTAGTGAAATATACTTTAAAAACAGGCAAAATATAAGCCCCGCCCACCCACCCTCATCTCAATTCGGACTAATTTTTCATTCTTTGTCAGACCCAAGGGCGAAGAGTAATTGCAAAATTCATATTTGCTTAAAAAAAAAAGCAATTTGATAAAGTTTTGAGTCTTTGATTATGAAAAGAAAACTATTTACGTAACATTAAAAAAACAGGACAAAATGCAAGCCCCGCCCACCGGCCCTATCTCAACTGTGATGATTTTTTATGCATGGGCGGGGCCTATAATTGGCCTTATTTTAGTTTACGTAATTTTCTTTTCATTATAAGACACGGAAAACAAGTTCAAAATGGTAAACTTTTGTAGGGAAATACGAATTTTCCAATTAAGCTCCGCCCCCTGGTTCACGATGAATAAAAAATAAAATCGTCACAATTGAGATGGGGTGGGTGGGCGGGGCTTATCTTTTGACTTTTGTTTTTTTCTTAATATTCGTAATCTTTTTTCTACAATAACTAACTTAAAACATGGTCAAAATGGTAAATTTTCGTAGTGAAATATATTTTTAAAAAAGGCAAAATATGAACCCCGCCCACCCACCCTCATCTCACTTCGGATTAATTTTTCATTCCTTGTCAGACCGAGGGGCGGAGCGTAATTGCAAAATCCATATTTGCTTAAAATTTACCAATTTAATAAAGTTTGAAGTCTTCGGTTGTGAAAAGAAAACTACGTACAGTAAAAAACACAAAACAAAATGCAAGCCCCGCCCACCCGCCCTATCTGAACTATGATGATTTTTTGTGCATGGGTGGGGCTTATTTTTTGCCTCATTTTTAGTATACCTAATTTTTTTTCATAACAAGAAACTGAAAACAAGTTCAAAATGGTAAAATTTTGTAAGGAAATGCTGATTTTGCACATAAGCTCCGCCCCCTGGCACACGACGAATAAAAAATAAAATCGTCACAATTGAGGTGGGGTGGGCGGGCGGGGCTTATATTTTGACTTTTGTTTTTTTCTTAATAATCGTAATTTTCTTTCTACAATAATAAACTTAAAACATGGTCAAAATGCTAAATTTTCGTAGTGAAATATATTTTAAAAACAGGCAAAATATAGGCCCCGCCCAACCACCCTCATCTCAATTCGGATTAATTTTTCATTCCTTGTCAGACCGAGGGGCGGAGCGTAATTGCAAAATCTATATTTGCTTAAAATGTACCAATTTGATAAAGTTTTGAGTCTTTGGTTGTGAAAAGAAAACTACGTACAGTAAAAAGCACAAAACAAAATGCAAGCCCCGCCTACTCGCCCTATCTCAACTGTGATCATTTTTAATGCATGGGCGGGGCTTATATTTGGCCATTTGTTAGTTTCCGTAATTTTCTTTTCATAACAAAAAATTGATAACAAGTTCAAAATGGTAAAATTTTGTAGGGAAATGCGGATTTTACAATTAAGTTCCGCTCCCTGGCTCACGACGAATAAAAAATAAAATCGTCACAATTGAGGTGGGGTGGGCGGGCGGGGCTTATTTTTGACTTTTGTTTTTTTCTTAATATTCGTAATCTTCTTTCTACAATAATAAACTTAAAACATGGTCAAAATGGTAAATTTTCGTAGTGAAATATATTTTAAAAACAGGCAAAATATAAGCCCCGCCCTCCCGCCCTTATCTCAATTCGGATTAATTTTTCATTCCTTGTCAGACCGAGGGGCGGAGCGTAATTGCCAAATCCATATTTTCTTAAAATGTACCTATTTAATAAAGTTTGAAGTCTTTGGTTGTAAAAAGAAAACTACGTACAGTAAGAACCACAAGCGAAAATGCAAGCCCCGCCCACTCGCGCTATGTCAACTGTGATGATTTTTTCTGCATAGGCGGAGCTTATATTTTGCCTTATTTTTAGTATACGTAATTTTCGTTTCATAACAACAAACTGAAAACAAGTTCAATATGGTAAAATTTTGTAGGGAAATACGGATTTGCCGATTAAGCTCCGCCCCCTGGCTCAGGACGAATAAAAAATAAAATCGTCACAATTGGGGTGGGGTGGGCGGGCGGGGCTTATCTTTTGACTTTTGTTTTTTTCTTAATATTCGTAATCTTCTTTCTACAATAACAAACTTAAAACATGGTCAAAATGGTACATTTTCATAGTGAAATATATTTAAAAAAAGGGCAAAATATAAGCCCCGCCCACCCACCCTCATCTCAATTCGGATTAATTTTTCATTCCCTGTCAGACCGAGGAGCGAAGCGTAATTGCCAAATCCATATTTGCTTAAAATTTACCAATTTAATAAAGTTTGAAGTCTTCGGTTGTGAAAAGAAAACTACGTACAGTAAAAAACACAAAACAAAATGCAAGCCCCGCCTACTCGCCCTATCTCAACTGTGATCATTTTTAATGCATGGGCGGGGCTTATATTTGGCCATTTGTTAGTCTCCGTAATTTTCTTTTCATAACAAAAAATTGAAAACAAGTTCAAAGTGGTAAAATTTTGTAGGGAAATACGGATTTTCCAATTAAGCTCCGCCCCCTGACTCACGACGAATAAAAAATGAAATCGTCACAATTGAGGTGGGGTGGGCGGGCGGGGCTTATCTTTTGACTTTTGTTTTTTTCTTAATATTCGTAATCTTCTTTCTACAATAACAAACTTAAAACATGGTCAAAATGGTAAATTTTCGTAGTGAAATATATTTTAAAAAAAGGCAAAATACAAGCCCCGCCCATCCACCCTCATCTCAATTCGGATTAATTTTTCATTCCTTGTCAGACCAAGGGGCGGAGCGTAATTGCAAAATCCATATTTGCTTAAAAAATTACCAATTTGATAAAGTTTTAAGTCTTTGGTTGTGAAAAGAAAACTACGTACAGTACGAAAAACAGGACAAAATGCAAGCCCCGCCCACCGGCCCTATCTCAACTATGATGATTTTTAATGCATGGGCGGGGCTTATATTTGGCCTTTTTTTAGTTTACGTAATTTTCTTTTCATAACAAAAGTCTGAAAACAAGTTCAAAATGGTAAAATTTTGTAGGGAAATACGGATTTTCCAATTAAGCTCCGCCCCCTGGCTCACGACGAATAAAAAATAAAATCGTCAAAATTGAGGTGGAGTGGGTGGGCGGGGCTTATCTTTTGACTTTTGTTTCTTTATTAATATTCATAATCTTTTTCTACAACAAGAAACTTAGAACATTGTCAAAATGATACATTTTCGTAGAGAAATATATTTAAAAAAAGAGGCAAAATATAAGCCCCGCCCACCCACCCTCATCTCAATTCGGATTAATTTTTCATTCCTTGTCAAACCGAGGGGCGGAGCGTAATTGCAAAATCCATATTTGCTTAAAAAAATTACCAATTTATTAAAGTTTTGAGTCTTTGGTTGCGAAAAGGAAACTACCAACGTAACATTAAAAAAGAGGACAAAATGCAAACCCCGCCCACCCGCCCTATCTCAACTGTGATCATTTTTTATGCATGGGCGGGGCTTATATTTTGCCTTGTTTTTAGTATACGTAATTTTCTTTTCATAAATAAAATTTTGTAAGGAAATACGGATTTTGTAATTAAGCTCCGCCCTCTGGCACACGACGAATAAATAAAATCATCAGAATTGAGGTGGGGTGGGCGGGCGGGGCTTATCTTTTGACTTTTGTTTATTTCTTAATATTCGTAATCTTCTTTCTACAATAATAAACTTAAAACATGGTCAAAATGGTAAATTTTCGTAGTGAAATATATTTTAAAAACAGGCAAAATATAAGCCCCGCCCACCCACCCTCATCTCACTTCGGATTAATTTTTCATTCCTTGTCAGACCGAGGGGTGGAGCGTAATTGCAAAATCCATATTTGTTAAAAAAAATACCAATTTGATAAAGTTTTAAGTCTTTGGTTGTGAAAAGAAAACTAAGTACAGTAAGAAAAACAGGACAAAATGCAAGCCCCGCCCACCGGCCCTATCTCAACTATGACGATTTTTTGTGCATGGGCGGGGCTTATATTTGGCCATTTGTTAGTTTCCGTAATTTTCTTTTCATAACAAAAAATTGAAAACAACTTCAAAATGGTAAAATTTTGTAGGGAAATACGGATTTTACAATTAAGTTCCGCTCCCTGGCTCACGACGAATAAAAAATAAAATCGTCACAATTGAGGTGGGGTGGGCGGGCGGGGCTTATTTTTGACTTTTGTTTTTTTCTTAATATTCGTAATCTTCTTTCTTCAATAACAAACTTAAAACATGGTCAAAATGGTAAATTTTCGTAGTGAAATATATTTTAAAAAAAGGCAAAATACAAGCCCCGCCCTCCCACCCTCATCTCAATTCGGATTAATTTTTCATTCCTTGTCAGACCGAGGGGCGGAGCGTAATTGCAAAATCCATATTTGCTTAAAAAAATTACCAATTTGATAAAGTTTTAAGTCTTTGGTTGTGAAAAGAAAACTACGTACAGTACGAAAAACAGGACAAAATGCAAGCCCCGCCCACCAGCCCTATCTCAACTATGATGATTTTTTGTGCATGGGTGGGGCTTATATTTTGCCTTGTTTTTAGTATACGTAATTTTCTTTTCATAACAAGAAACTGAAGACAAGTTCAAAATGGTAACATTTTGTAAGGAAATACGGATTTTGTAATTAAGCTCCGCCCCCTCGCACACGACGAATAAATAAAATCATCACAATTGAGGTGGGGTGGGCGGGCGGGGCTTATCTTTTGACGTTTGTTTCTTTCTTAACATTCGTAATCTTCTTTCTACAACAAGAAACTTAAAACATGGTCAAAATCATGGTACAAGAAGAAATGGTATGCTATTTTAATGGATGAATCTTGTGACGTCACATTACTTTGAAAACCATGCTCGAAACGCTCTTCTGACAACTTCGAAAGCTGTCAAATGTTAATTTATCAGTGATATGTGAGGTTATAACGGAGGTTGATATTGGGTTCAGTTTTTAATCATAGGTTAACTTATCTTCGAAGGTGCTAAGTTGAAATTAGTTACTAACAACATGTGTTCAAAATTTGGCAACAAGCCACATTACGTCACATAAAATGCGCAATATTATATCATGCCTTTATGAATTTAACTGTTCGTTGGATAATAAAGCTTATTATTATTGTTTTCAGTGTTAATAAGAATTGGGTTGTTGTCACTTATAAGAAATTAGTAACGATCGTCTGAATATTGCCAATTAGTTTAAATAGCTCTGTTGTCAATAAAATTGTGGCCGCCATTAACAACTTACCACTTAATTTAGATATTTTTAACTATAAGGATTTTTTATTTATTTTGAACACAGTGTATATTATTAGTGTCATCGGGCTTTGTTGCCCTATCGGGTACGCCACTGGCCACAACTTATTTTAGAACCTGACTGCAACTAAATAGTTTTCAACAATTCTTGCACGTAAGAAACGCGTTTAATGCTTGTGTGGCTGATTGCAATAACAATTATTTTGGAAACCTATTTTCCATTTTTGTTTAATTTTTAAATAATTTTATTCACTGCTTTACAAATTTACAAATGCCACGTTGGCATCACTGACTAATTGACATTAATATCCTGCGATTTTGATTTTTTGTGGCCGGAATGTTATAATTATTGAAATTATAGTATTGTTTTTTTAAGAGTCAAAGTTTAACATTTCTGGTACTATAATCATCACAAATAATAATTCTAAAAATCAATTTCGCTTCATATCGACCCCAGTCCCACACGGCACCCTGTCATGTAACTATTGCCACATTACATAAAGCGTATCTTGAACATTAAATATTAGCACAAACAGTTGTAATAATGTTAAAAATAAAATTTTATGTACACCTTCATAAATCCCAAAGTCAAAAGTCCACCTTTTCTCAGTTTAAATAATACAACACGTTCCAGTAGTCGTCCTAACCTCAAAGTGAGTGGTACACATCTCCCCATTTTTGGATGCATTAAAAGGTAAATAGTCATTAAAACCGAGGTCAGCTTATGTAATTGCGAATTTCACCAACAATAACACGATTAAATTAAAACAGCTGTCCACTGGATATAAAATTTTTATAGCTGTTGGCAAAGTTTCACATTTGGCGGCCTTGCGGGTCGATTGTTGTGTCAAAATTATTTTTTCGTGAAGTGAAGAGCCTTGATTGTGGCTGGTGGTGCCTGGGGGTGACGGCCACAAAAAACCAATCAAAAGCAAACAGCTCCACACAAAAAAAATCCATCACTTATCTCCTGAAACCTCGCTCAGTGTAAATACTTTGCACTTTGCTTCTAGCGATAACAGTGTGTGTTTTTGCAGGCAGACAACATGCCCGAAAGATTGAAGATCGACGAGCCCCTGTGGGACCAGAGCACGTTCGTGGGACGCTTCAAGCACTTCCTGTGGGTGACCGATCCCAGAACTTGCGTCGTGAGTGAAGAAGCCCTAGACAACGCGAAAGTCCTCGTCGAGCAGTACCGGAAAGGATCGGAACCTCCAGGCACGACCTTAGAGCAAATAATTTATGCTAAGAAGTTGTATGAGAGTGCTTTTCATCCGGATAGTGGGGAGAAGCAGAATGTGTTTGGGAGGATGTCGTTCCAGGTTCCCGGGGGTATGGCTATCACGGGAGCCATGTTGCAGTGGTATCGGTAAGTTGCGCGTTTAACGGTTTAAACAGTTCAAATTCGGATTCTCTCTCAGCCTCGTGACAGCGCCTAATTTCCAGCACAGCCACCGCCGTGGTCTTCTGGCAGTGGGTTAACCAGTCCTTCAACGCTCTCGTCAATTATACCAACCGTAACGCAAAGTCCCCAACCACTACCACCCAACTCATAGTGGCTTATCTCTCGGCAACCGGTTCCGCCATGGTGACCGCTCTAGGTTGCAAATATTACTGGACCAAACGCGCCAGTCCTTTCGTCCAAGTAAGCCCCCGCAGCCCCCACAAACCCTCTTCTGTACCCCTTTTTTGATCAGAGATATGTACCGTTCGCAGCAGTGGCGGCGGCAAATTGCGTCAATATACCTCTGATGAGACAGAACGAACTCATCTATGGGATAGATTGTTCCGACGCCAATGGTAATGTGGTGGCCCAGTCCAGATTTGCGGCCGTCAAAGGGTTCACCCAGGTGGTGATATCCAGAATCGTGATGTGCGCCCCTGGGATGTTGATCCTTCCAGTTATTATGGAGAGGTTGGAGAAGTATAGGTGGATGCAGCGGATCACTGTTTTGCACGGACCGTTCCAGGTGCTGGCAGTAGGGTGTTTGTAAGTTGGGTTTGATTGTGGTGGGTTAGGTGTGACGAGGTTGTTTTAGCCTGTCGTTCATGGTACCGACGGCCTGTGCGTTGTACCCTCAGAGATGGTAAGCGATCACTGGATTTTTGTAGGGTAAAATGAGTAGAGGGTGTCACGCGTTTTGTTTTAGTTCGATTAATGCAACCACTTTGGAGTGGCTAGAGCCCGACGAGTACAAGAAACTGACAAATAAATGTGGTGCTAACATTCCCGGGGTACTCTACTTCAACAAGGGTCTCTAAACGACAATAACCGAATGTGGCATAAAAATAGTAAATATTAGATATTCAGGTATAGCTTTCAAGAAAAGTATACGTATTTTAGAAAACCCAGGCGAATCTCTTAAATTATATTGATTTAAATGTCAGCAATATGTCTATATTTTACAACACTTAAGTACGTGTGTATTCTTAGGTAATAAGTAAGCAATAATTTATGACTCTTATTTATCAATTTTATTGTTGATTGTGTTGTTTACAAAAATATTACAAAAAGTATTTAAATACAAGCATTTTAATTCATGTAAAACGGACATTTCCACAATACTAACACTCCAGCTGCAATAGAAAAATGTCAATGGCAGTCACAGGGATAACAATATGTACAGTTAATAACAATATACAATAAAACATTTTAACATTAACAATTGCCTGCACACCCATTAAAATAAACAGTGAAAATTGAACGCCTTTTATTTGTGTCCATGCTTCATACTACTGGATTCCAGTAGCAACGACGCGTCGCACATCATCCGTGCGTTGCTCCTCACCAGGAAAAACAAGTGACACTCTTCGTAGACGGTGAGCTGCACCCTGGTGCACACCAGACCATGCAAGACCGTGGCGCGCTGCAGATCCAGCCACCGCTGCAGCGCCAGCTCGCGTTCGCGGATCGTACTACCGAGGGCGACATCTGACGGGCCCCATAGACAAAACTCGAGGATGGACTTGACCTGGGTTAGAGTGACGGCGCGTTCGTTCTTCAGGAGCGACTGGATGAGGGGGGTTATGCGGGCGGTGGGTTGGAGCAACGAAAGCGCTTTGGCTGCGCACATACATAAAGTCCCGTATTCGTCGCAGTCGGGTTTTAGGTGTAAATCTTCACCGAGACTGCAAACAAAATTTTGTTGTAAGATTGGTTGCATACTTTCACACACAGTATAGATATCAATCAGTAGAGACAGCTCCGTTTTTCGTGACCCGTTTTCGTGGGTGGTCGTTCGCATTATGACCGAATGAGGGCGCCCAACTGACGTCTAAAATATTTGAAATTTGGCAGTTTTGTTACAATATTTTTGCCGGTTTTGCTTGTTTAAGACTGCTTTTCCGGTAGAATTGTACAAATAGTATAAAAATGTAATTTTCACAATAAAAGGTAAAATCTTTGTCCGATGAATTTTCATACAGGATCCCTGTTCGCGTCTTATTCTCTCCATCGTGTTTGGAATTCTTGGAAAAGATAGTAAACATAACACACTTTTTGTTTAAAAAGTCGTCGCAAACGGACAACAACGGTGGTTATGAAATAAATAATAAAAATTTATTATATATCCCCAGTAGCAAGCAATATTTTTCTAACATTTATACAACATTGATATAATATTAAATGTTGACTAGATATTACAAATATTTATAGAATATTCATTTTATATTTATAAATTTATATATGAATTTCAACATATATTACATATTTATGAAATGTCTTTTTATCAAGATACCGAACAACAAAAATGAAAAAAAAGTACCATGTTGGGACAACTTGTAGGTAATTTATTTCATAGGGTTTTTATTGGAGTAATATTAAAAATTGATTTGAAAAAATACCAGCTATTGTGAAATTGACACTATTCGAAATCTCGCTTTGCACACTATTAATTGCTCATTAAAAAGTAATATTTTTTTTATTTTTGCGAAAAAAAAATAACAATTTTATTCATCATTTTTATAAAACTTACTTAAATTTGCGTTTCACCTACAGATGCGCTTGCTCTGCTGGAACGCGTTTGCGCAATGTGCAACATATACAGTAGCGGCAGTGAGTAATAGAGTTAAAAGAGAGGCAACCTTATGGACAAGTGCGGGGCTAATGCTCCGTCTTACCCCTCACTTCACTTCATCCACAAACGTAATAGTGCATAGTGGCTCTCCCTCCTTTTTTCTTGTGAACTACGTTAACAGTAGTTTGGACGAACACCAACTCATCAGACTTGTGGCCAGTGCGATTACTAGTGTTGGGCATAATCGACATATTTCACTAATCGAATGAATCGAAATAATCGTTTAAAATAATCGAATAATCACTCGAAAATTCGATTATTGTTCAGTGCGCATGCGTGGCTTGACGAATTCTGAATCGAACATTCAATTAAGATTTATTTATTGATTGAAAATAGCTTCATTGTCAGTGGTCCGTATTCTTTTTCCTTAATTAATATTTAGAGACGTTCGTTATTTTTTTTTTCTCTTTGATATATGCTTTTATCGTATTCTTTTCTCACTCATTGTAATCAAAATTTTAGAAACCGATTGGCTTAACAAATGGGAAATCATACGGCCCAATATGTTTATAAATTATTATATTATGTAGTTAGTATATTCCGTCACACTTGTAACACACTACCACCAACCTAACAAATGAAATTTACTAATGATTTCGATTATTTTCTACGGTTAGTTGCCTCAATCCGAATGAATTATTTCGAAATCTCGAATCGTAATCGTGTACTCGTGCGCAGTCGAAACGAAAAACGAAACGAATAAACGAATGATTTCTAAACGATAATCGAATGATCGATTATTCGGGTGTAATCGAGATATCTCGATTATATCATTCGTAATCGGCCAACACTAGCGATTACGTTAAAGCAAAATAGCCCATCCCCAAATGAACGGTGGTCTGGTGAAAGGTTTTTGTCCAATTTTAACCAAATTTCAGCTTTTCTTTAATTATTATTGTTATGATAAGCACATGTTGACAACATGCCAGTAAATCCCAATTTTTGGAGGATGCCTGGTGTATGCGTTTAAATTCATCCTTTATTTAAATAAAAAAGTGAACGGCCATTATAGTAGATATAGTTATTATGATATTTTTATTATTTTTCAGTTTTTCGACCGTTTTATATTTCGATTTCTCAATTTTTCAACTTCTCGATATTGTAATTTTTCATTTTTAAAATTCTAGATTTTTCGATTTCTCGAGTTCTCAGTTGTTCTATATTTAATTTTTTTATTTTCCCAATTTTTAAATTTTCGATTTTTCAATTTTTGAGATCCCGAATTATCAATTATTCCATTTTTAACTTTTCGATTTGTCAATTTTGGCCTATTTCGCTTTCTCAATTTTTCGATTTTTCGACTTGTCGACTTTTCGACTCCTCGATTTCTCCATCTTTTGATTTTTCGATTTCTCGATGTCTCAGTTTTTGAATTTTTCGATGTTTCGATTTGTCGGTTTTTGATTTTTACTTTTCGATTTTTCGGTTTTTCTGTGTTTAGATTTTTATATTATTCGATTTTTCAGTTTTCCAATTTTTTTTAGTTTTCGAGTTTTGATTTCTCGATGTGTTGATTTTTTAGTTTTTCGATTTTTATATTTTAGATTTTTCAATTTTTATTTTTTTTTATTTTTTGATTTTTACATTTCTCCATTTTTCAATTTTACGATATTTTAATTTTTCAATGTTTTAAATTTTAGGCTTTTCGATTTTTCAGTTCTTCAATATTTTTTAATTTTTTAAATTTTGACGTTTCAGAATTTTCAGATTTCCGATTCCTCAATTAATCTACTTTTTTCGACTTTGCTTTTTGAATTTTTGATTTCTCAATTTTTCAATTCTTTAACTTCCTAATTTTTGAATATTTTGTTCAATTTTGTGATTTTTCAGTTTTTCGACTTTTTACTGTTTGAATTTTCAATTTTTCGTTTTATAAACTTTTAGTTTTCAGTTTTTAAAATATTAGGTTTTTCGATTTCTCGACTTTTCAGTTCTTCTATCTCAATTTTTCAATTTTTGGAATTTTTAAATTTCTGATTTTCCATTTTTTTTTTATTTTTCGATTTTCCGTTTTTTTTTTAATGTTTCGATTTTCCATTTTTTTTGTGGGTATCGTTGGTGATTTTTAGAAAAAGCGACGGTTACGGTTTTCAGATTTTATTTAGTTCCTTTTACTGTTTGAGAGTGCCAGGGAGAAGAAGATCGAAGGGTGTTTGAATGGTCGACAGGTATGCTCGGTTTCAAATAGGTGGTAGTAGGTAAAGAAAGAGTTTAGAAAATTCTAGAAACGGAAAGAGAAAGTATGTAGGAGCGTAGGGCAGGTAGACGAAAGATAGGACGTATTTACATTTGTACAAAGATTATGAATGCGCTCAGGTAGAACACCTGATTTTGTGGGAACGGTTGTTCCTACATTTTAATTTTTCGATTTTCCACTTTTTTTTAATTTTTCAATTTTCCAATTTTTCGATGTTTCGAATTATTCAATTTCTCTGTTTTTAAATTTTAATTTTTTTTATTTCTTTATATTTAGACTTCTCGATTTTACAATTTTTCGATATTTGAATTTTTCAAGTTTTAATTTTGCCATCTTGGTTTTTCGATTTTTAAAATTTTTCGATTTATAGATTTTCCGATTTCTCAATTTTTTCAACATTATCAGTTTTGGGAACTTTTCAATTGCTTTTTTCAATTCTGAACGCTTAGAATCGACATTGGCATGAGCGCGCTCTGGTCTGTGGATCCAACATGTTCCCAGGCGACGACTTATCAAAAATTGTTATCGCTAATTCCACTAGAAGTTTAATATTTTGTGCGAAAATGGAACACTCCAATGAATATAATTGCCGAAATGTGTTTGCCGAATTTTATACAGACCGTATGCATTTAAAAAAGCCCTTCATATTTAATCACTTTTTCGAAATGGGGATATCAAAAAGGACAAATTATAACTCTAGAGAATGGTAATTCGATAGAAAGACAGACAAGAAGTGGAATTCCAGCAACAAAAATGGCCCAGAAGAGGAGAGAAGCCTTAATCTGTCAGAACCACGGCAGTAACCATGTATTGGAACATTATAACTAGTAATTTAGTAATATAATAGTGTAAATAGTGTGTCCTATTTTTAACATCCATACTCACTAACCACGGTAAACTTGGAATGCCATTTAGAAATTTTGGACAGAAATTTAAAATCGGCAAAAAGTACGTTACTAAGGGAGAATAAAATCATATTTGCAAAGCGAAAATCAATTCCCAAATGTTCAGAAAAACAAAAATTGGAACAAAAGCAAAAATTAAAAAAAAAATTCTGAATCATTACACTGCCAACGTTATTGATGCATAAATGACTTATATAAATATTCAGTTTATTCCTAAGGACATAAATGTTCCGAACGTCCCTCAACTGCGACCAATTGAACGCTTTTGAAGAAATCTAAAGTGGAATTTGTGTGAAAAATGTAGGGTAGGAACCCTTCACACATACAGAATTAAGCAGTGTGTATTGCTGAAAATTTGGCAGAAAAAAATATTGGCTTTCACAAATTTAATGCGCCGCACCGTGTTAAAACAAAAATGTGTGAAGCAAGTAGATATGTTGCAAATCGTACTCTATAAAGTTGTTTTATAAATGTTAACAGTTGCATTTTTAATTCGTCATTCAATAATAAAGTTATGCTAGTTTGAAACTTGCGCAGATTTTTGGTCCCCACACCCTTATTTGATTCGAGTCGCAAAGTGTCAGTAATTTTCCGCGCCGTCCGACTTGTTAAATTTCAAACTAAAACGGCTGCAAGAGCGATTCACTTACAGTAGTTGTGTTGTACAAGCTCAGACAACAACCCGTAAAATGGTATTAGTAACAACCATTGAAGGTTAGAGGGCTTTTGTCGCATTTTGGGGCGCCATCTGACCGCCAATATTAACTCACTGGTACGCATAAGGATACGGGGTTGCCGGTCTTTTAAATACATAGTCACTGGTAGCGGTCATTTCTACGGAACCACTCGATAAAAAGTCAAGTTGGTAGCCCTGTCATCTAGTACTTTACGCCGAACGCGGTTGGTAGCGGTAGTTGATATGGCAATCGAAACTAGCACAACACGAATATTTCGGTTGCCCTCAGCTATGCCTCACTGTATCCCGTGCACACTGTATGTTCTGTTCATCTGTTTATTAAAATAAAATATCTACATTGACAATGGGGTCTGTATAACCTGTCAAATTTTTGACACATATGTTTTCCCCCAGAAACCCGTCAAGATCACTTACACCAAACAAATTTTGAAAATTTACACTAGGGAGTGGTTCTATAGAAAAGATCGCGACTTACATAAACAAATTTTCTGTTATTATTGGGAGTTCAAAAAGTATTTTGTGTAAGTTCATGGTGTTTGTCCTATTGTGAATTGTGATTATCGGTACTGCGATAAATTCAGAATAGTGTAGTAACTACCGTTTTGTCAAGAAAACAATACTAAACCTACATAACCTCACTTCTACATGCAATGCAGAAAATGCAATTTCTCAACACGTAAGTATATTTAAGAGGTTTAATATTTCTGAATATAAGCATATTATGAATGTAGAGACAAAATGATGAATGTCCGGGTGCAACCAAAAAAAAAAAAAAGAAGAAATCGAGTTAGAAATTGCGGGATACGTAGAAGTTGGATGAATTGGTAAGCATTTATTATTATTATTAACTCCTAGTATTTATAAACTAGTTTCAGACTGATAATAATGTTTATTTGTCAGGAAGAGAAGACGTAAAAAACATGTATGCAATTTTGAAGAAATTATTAATAATGAACCAAATTGCTTTCAAGTTTTCAGGGCAAGGAAAAAAATAATCTCTCTTTTAGTGAACTCACAATTAACAAGGCTACAATATGTAAAGTTATGTGATTTCTTAAAAATTACAAATTTTGTAAATTAATTTAATTGTAGGTACCACACGGAAACGTCACAAAAACGCCACAACTACTGAAATTTAAAAAATGGTAGGACCTCATTAAGCGCAGACAAAAGCAAGAATGAATTCTCATCGAAAAAAACATGAGGTATGATTTTTTTTATTTTAATTAATTATATCGCTTTTCAATGAATTGGTTATAGAGCAAATAATTATTAAATAAATATTTCTGTATAACGATTGAAATGTAGCAGAACATTGTTAATTCCATTGACAATGTATTTTTATTTCACTGTAAGTTGGCAGTGTATTTTTATGTTTAAAAAATTTATATTGTGTTTCACATCAGGTGATTTTTTAAATTTATGCTCTGGTTGCCCATGAAGCTTATGTCAGCAGTTTCAGTTTCACTGCTGACATAAGTGTCATGGATAACTACGGCAGAAATTAAAAAAAAAAATCACCTGGTACAAATTTTCAACGAATTGGTTCTAGGACAAATAATTTTTAAATGTATAAATATTGCCGCAACATTTCAAATACACTGTTATTTCCAGTGACAATGTATTTTTGTGTTTAATAAATTTTATATTGTATTCCATACAAGTTGTTTTTATATCCATACCCCCTTTCATATGAAGAACATTTATTAAATGTTCCGAACTAAATAAGTATTAAACATTGAACAAAAATATATATTCAATATTTAAAACCAATATTGATTTTCTAAAAAAAAATCTGTCGTTACCCATATTATTTAAATGTTAGAACTTCAATATTTATTACATATAAAATGTTACTGGGAATATGATTCCGTTGTTGTGGTGAAATTAAATATAAAAGTAATAAGAAACAAACTACACGTAACAAAAAATTATATAAGCAGACCTTCTCTCAATAAACAATTTTTTTATTCATTATGTATATCTATATATATATTTTGACCTACACAATCTTGAGTTTTATTTTGAGACGTTGCTTAACCCATAAGCAGTCGCTTAATCCCTATGGACTTCCGGTTTCATGAATTCCTTAATTGGACGGCTTTTTGCAGAAAGGCACCAATCCACAAAATTGTATTTTTAAAACAAACATGAACTTTGAACCCTAGAAGACTTCATGAACGTATTCCATATGTTAAAATAACGATTTTTTAATTCTATTTAACTTTTTTTTACCATGAACCAATCAACAATTTCTTTAAATTTTGTAGTCATTTTTGCAGAAAGGAACCAGTCCACAATAAGCTGTATTCTACTATAGTAGTCGGCATTTTGCAATTTTTTACCTATAACTCTAATAATAAAGACTGCTTTAAGCCTAATGAATGTCTTTTTACATATTATGTTGGTACCTGTTATAACACTTTAACGATAATAGTTCCACCTCGCTCAGTTTCTTTTATGTAATACAGAGATTCTTTTAGTTGTAACTTACTAGTTTTTTTTATTTTTTTACACATATAAAAATTAAAAATGAGCTTCTGTTATTTTTACGTGTTTTTATAATACATATCACATTATATTGAAGTAGACTGTGACATCACCTTCTGCATAATTATTAATGTCACATAATATTTCGTCCAGTTTTCTTAATATACGAAGTCTTATTTTCCCAACAAGAAACTGAAAACATGTTTAACTATTTTGTCGTTCAAAGAAAACTTTATACATTATACAATATACATTCAATTCTTTACGGCTTTTTTTAGAGTGTAGACAAAGTACTCGTCAAAAACTGAGAACTGACGGTTATTGAAAAAAATTACATTTAACAACAAAATAATATTAGGTTAGAAAACATTAAAAACGAGAAGCTATTTTACGTGGCTTACATTAGGAGTACAGTCCAAAATGATTGAATAATACATTGACTTTATGTTTTTTATTATTATATCTCTTGTTCTTTGTGTCAAAAAATTGTTGAAAGAAAACTATGTATAGAAAGAAAAAAGACCATTAAGCCCCACCCACCCGCCCCTATTTCAATTGTGATTCGTTTTTCATTCGTAATCAGATCGAGTGGCGAAGTTTAACTGCAAAATACATATTTCTGTACAAAATTTTACTCTTTTAGAGAAATGGGGATTTTGCAATTAAGCCCCTCCCCTCAGTTCACGATGAATAAAAAATTCATCACAATCGAGTAGGGGTGGGTGGGCGGGGGTTATATTTAGTCCTGTTTTTCTTAATATACGAAGTCTTCTTTTCCCAACAAGAAACTGAAAACATGTTTAACTGTCTTGTCGTTGAAAGGAAACCCTATATATTAAAAAAAAAAAGATTAAGCCCCACCCACCCGCCCCGATCTCAATTGTGATGAGTTTTGTCGTTTTCATTCGTAATCAGATAGAGGGGCGGAGTTTAACTGCAAAATCAATATTTCTGGACAAAATTTTACTTTTAGAAATATACATATTTCAAATGGTAATTTCTTGTACAGAAATGAGGATTTTGCAAACTAAGCTCCGCCCCTCGGTTCACGATGAATAAAGAAATTCATCACCATTGAGAAGGGGTGGGTGGGCGGGGCTTACATTTCGTCCAGTTTTTCTTAATATACGAAGTCTTCTTTTCCTAACAAAAAAGTGAAAACATGTTTAACTATCTTGTTGTTGAAAGAAAACTATACATTAAACAAAAAACAAAGATTAAGCCCCACCCACCCGCCCCGATCGCAATTGTGATGAGTTTTTCATTCGTAATCAGATAGAGGGGCGGAGTTTAACTGTAAAATCTATATTTCTGGACAAAATTTTACTTTAAAAAACATACGTATTTCAGATAGTAATTTCTTGTACAGAAATGAGGATTTTGCAACTAAGCTCCGCCTTTCAATTCACGATGAAAAAAAAATCATCACAATTGAGAAGAGGTGGGTGGGCGGGGCTTATATTTCGTCCAGTTTTCTTAATATACAAAGTCTTCTTTTCCCAACAACAAACTGAAAACATGTTTAACTATCTTGTTCAAATAAAACTCTATACATTAAACAGAAAACAAATATTAGGCCCCACCCACCCGCCCCTATTTCAATTGTGATTAGTTTTTCATTCGTAATCAGATATAAGGGCGGAGTTTAACTGCAAAATCCATTTCTAGAGAAAATTTTACTTCTAAAAACATATTTCAAATGGTAATTTCTTGAGGGTTTGCAACTAAGCCCCGTCCTTCAACTCACTATGAATAAAAAATTCGTCACAATTGAGATGGGGTGGGTGGGTGGGGCTTATATTGCGTCCAGTTTTTCTTAATGTATGAAGTCTACTTTTCCCAACAAGAAATTGAAAACTTGTTTAAATATCATATTGTTGAAAGAAAACTCTATATATATATATAAAAAACCAGCCCCGATCTCAATTGTGATGAATTTTTGATTCGTTGTTAGACCGAAGGGCGGAGCGTAATTGCAAAATATATATTTCTAGAGAAAAAGTTCCCATTTTCAATATGTTTTAAGTTTCTTATTGTAAAAAGAAGACTACGTATTATACAAAAGGCAAATAAATCTGTCAAAATAAAACAAATTATACCGTTAATCAGTTAATAAGTTGTTGTGAACTTTTTCTGTAAACTTACAAGTTTTATCTTAAATTATTATGGATTCGGTTGTGCCATTAATTGAAACGGTAAATAAAAATATTTTTTAGTTGTTTATGATATCACATTCTAATATTTTTAGAAACTGAACCATATTTCAGAAAATTCTTTCAGTGCACTGCAAGCAATAGCAAATTATTATAACACTTCTAGTGAGTATAGTGATTCAGAACAGCTACTTACTCTGATGATGAAGATAATAATCTAAATAATGTTCCACCCATAAATTTTAATCAAACAACAGGGAAACAAACGAGGCCGAAAAAGGAAGTTTTTAAATTTAACAAGAGATGAAAACAAAAAGAGAAGAAACAGTAACAAACTTCATTACGATTACAAATCCAATATTCTACAAGAAAAAGCATTCATTGACTACAAGTGTTCTTGTATGGCCCAATGGCAAACCGATAAGTGACCCCAAATTGAAAGATTTGCAGTTAATTCTGCATTTAATACCGGCAGATGCATAACCCTTCTACAAAAATCTAGCTTCTTCTGGTTACATAGAAGATGATGTAGAGGATTTCACTGGCACCCCTGATTTTGAAATGGAAAGTTCTTAAATTTATCAATTATTAAACCACATTCTTTATATTTTGGTTCATTAAATAATATTCTAAGTATGTCCTTGATTTTGCAGAATAGAACCAATCCACAAAATATTAATTATTTTTAGGAAATAAACGCATAGGACCCGTACACCATTTTATGCGTGCGAAGTATAATTATTTTGATTTTTTCACATACATAAAATTTAGATATTTCTTTTATAGAATTATTAAATGAAGAAAATTACGTTTTTTAATTTTTCTCGTTAATAATTTTTGTGGTTGCATTCTACAAAAAACCGTCCAATTATTCTTACCTGCGTCGACCCATACTAATTACCTGCACTTTATGTGAGCCGACAAATATGCATTTTTTTTGTAATAATTTTTTTTAAATACAAATTTTACTTTATATGATATTACGCTAGAAAACTGTTTTGGATGGATTAAGAAACAAAATGGAAATTCTATTAACCCCACATCTAATCAATTTCAAATGGCTTTTAGAAAATTAATCATACAAGATTATTTTGATGAAACGAACACAGGTAATCAAAACTGCGAGCCTGATATGGAAGAAATTTTAAAGTTAAATGTAGGTCGTTGTATGCTAGGATGAGATTATTTTATGTACTAAAATTTACAAATGCCAAAGATGAAAAAATTAATAGAAAGAAAATAATTTGGCAGCATTAACTTTTTTCCTTTTTGTAATTTAATTTTTATTTTATTTATTTTTTCTTAAATAAACCTGTTTATTTTTAGATGTATTTATTACATTATTTTTACAATGATAATTAAACCTCAAGTATTCGGGGAAAGACTGTGCGAATTGTCAAATTGTATAAGTAATAAAATAAAAACTGTAACAAATCATCGTGTTTATAAATTAAATATCGACTTTTCTTTTTTCTTATTGCGATTCACGATTATACGATTTGAGCAAACTACACAGTTTGCAATAAATTGCGTACACGAATCAATTTTTCAAATTGTAAATGAAGTGATACTTTTTAAATTGGGTGGCGACATCTAGGAATAGTTTAGGCAACGACCACCCATGACGGCTTAAAATTCGGGCTGTCTCTACTCATTGATATCTATACTGTGTTTCGAACTTACCCCTGCAACACGCATAATCTCACATGACTTTCTTTATCCATTTCTTTACAAAGAATGAAACTATTGAGCGACAGCGCCAATTCTTCAATGCCTTGAGCTTGCAGAATCTTCAACGCGTTTACCAACTGTAACATAATAAAACTCGCATCTTTCCACGTTTCTTCGTGGGTTTGCGACCCTTTGAGTTTCAAGGTGTCACTGTACGACTGAATAGTGCTGATTTGCAGCCATGGTAATACTCCAACGGTGGCTAAAAAAATTGAGTAGTTTGGAATGGCGTTGACGTCGCGAAATTTGATACCTTGAATGTACTTGTTGTCGTCGCTATCCACGCAAGCGAATTTCGCCGGTATAAGATCGCTGAATTCGGTAATCGCTGATAAACTGTAAGTTCCTAGAGCGACAGTGCTTGATGGTACAGCGCCTGTGTTAATAACAAGAGTGACGTGCTGGGTGTTCCATACAGCGTGTTGGAACGTCCTGCACCCAACTGTCACCGGTTGGGTGGTGGATTTAACCGAAAAATCAGTCCAGCGCAAGTTGGGTAAAGATTTCAAGCCTCTGAGAGCGGGTTGAATGTGGCTGATTTGTTGAATCTGAAACGAGGTCTGAGAAAAATGGACACTAGTTAGTTGCGACGTACGTTTTCGAGTACTTGAGCTAGCGCTTCGTGGTTGGCAACAATGACAGCGCCGTAATTATCTTCAAGGTTTTTATGTACAATGCTTCGTCCTTTCCGAGAGCGGAGTTTGTGGGTGCGCCCGTTTTGAATCCAGTCGTGATCATCTTCGGTCACCTAAAATAAAAAAATAAAAAAAAATTATAAATGGGACCTATTTATAATTTCGGTTTTTACTTCTGATTCACTTCCGTAGAAGCTGTAGGGTGAATAAATCTCCGACTCTGTCTCACTACCACAGTACGTAAGCGATAGCGATCGTGGGATGTTGCTATATTTGAAATAGTCGCCTGAAACGTCAATGCTACTTTCGGACCTCTTATTCAACCTAGCAGTCTTAGAAGTAGGACTATTTTTGTGTGGACTAGAATCAGACTCCGGCGAACTTGATCTTCCACCGTTGATATAATCATAGACGTTCTCTCCATTATCCATACTATTGACATTAATGGGCTCATACGTGTTGTTCGAGTTCTTCCTCTCCTGTTTTTGTTGCAGTGCGTCGTGTTCTCTCATGCTCGCTGTTCGTTGTGGTTTGTTCGGAACAATAGCCGACCGCACTTCCCCGATGTTCGCATACACGGTTTCCGCCTTCTTCCCGTTCGTGGTACTACTATTGAACTGCTTTTGTTTCTTTAGAATCTCGACTGACTTCGGTGGGTGCGGCAAGTTCGGCTTGTAGTCCATCTCGTCGATGTTTCTAGGTGGGGGCGGCGGCTTCTGCGCCTTCACCGCATAATTCTCGTAGTCGTGCCCATTGGGCACTTCTGAGTACCTTTGCACACTAATGTTTTGGTAGTCGCCTTGATCCTGACTAGCTTTGGCCACTACTTCTACTCTTGCACCATTCAGCTCCGATGGATGCACGATGACCAACCTAGGTTTAGGCAACGGTGGCCCTTCTAACTCCTCGTACTTCAACGAGTCCACTTTGGGTCCTTCTTTACTAGACCCCATGCGGAGGAACCGTTTCAACGAGAAGCGACCTTTGGTCTTCTCTTTTCGCTTCTCTTCGCTCGCCAAGCTATCCGTAGACACCGACAACATCTTCCTGGGGGCCGGTTCCGGGATACTAATCTCCTCCAGGTCGCGGATCTTCGGACTACACGAACTCGCTCTCTCCCGTTTCTCCTTCTCCCGAACCACAGGCGAGTCGCCCTTGATCGCATTGAGAGAATTCCGGGCATAGGTTTGGTCTTCGGGCGGCTTCGGCGCTCTTCGCTTATTCACGGCACGCTCAGACCCAGTTGAATCTTGTTTACACAGTAGAGTCTTGTGCTCCTCAACACTAAACGTCGTGAGGATTTGGTTCTTGACTTCTGGGTGCTGCGCAGGCTGAGGTTTACGAATCAAAACGGTTGCAGGTTTGGACGGGACTTTAGGTTTTTCGTAGATGGGGGTGTTGTGGAGGAAGGAGTTTTGACCCTCGAGGAGCGGCGGGGGAGTGAGGGGGAGCGCCGGTGGTTCGGTGACGGTGTCAGGGTCGGCACGTCCGTCAGGCTCTCCGGCTTGTTCGCGACTTTGAGGAAACACGGTTTTTGGGGGTAAAACGACTTTGAGAGGTTCTTGGACTGCTGGAGTTTCTTCAGGTTCATGGTCAGTCTTTTCATCCTTATCAGTTTTAACGTTTTTCTTGAGTTTGGTGTTCTTGGTGTTGAGCTCGATCTTCGCGGTGGATGTTTGGTACACCACTGGTTTTTCTTGGTCTCGCTTGAGGGCTGGAGTTCGTGACAGACCCACCTTGCGTTCCACCACTTTCGACGACTTATTCTCCTCTTTGATGTTTTCTTTGTTACTGTCGTCCTTCGACACTGCTAGAACGATCTCTTTCTGGATTTTTTTCCGCGACATGATTTGGATCGGGTTTTTGCTGTTCTCTAGCGTTTCGGTGATTTCGTCAAGCAGCGACTTTTCTTCCGTGTTAACCGATTCATCTTCGTTCTTCGTGTATGAAGTCAACACGACGCTGGTTTGTTTGGCTTCAGGCACGCTTTCTTTGTTGCTGCTTTTCGAAATCGGGATGTGCGATATGCTCTTGATGAACCTCTTCGGGCTCGGAGGGGCGTCTTCCCCGAATGGAGTCACCGATACCATGAGGGTTTGTTTGCGCCCGCTGGAGTCCACGATGGGTTTACCTAGTAACAACTGAGTGGTTTTCTTCACCGCTGGTTCGTACTTTAAACTAGTCGTGTTAAAATCGGTGTTCTCCTTCGTGATTCTCTTGAGTTCTTTCTCCGACTCTTCTTCTTCCGACTCGGCCACGAAGTCGTCCTCGCTGGATTCGCTGTCATCGTTGGTGTCTTCGCCGTCCGACTCCCAGTCCTCGCCGCCAAACCCGATGATCTCGGACAAATCTTTCGTAAAGCAAACCGATCTTTTGGGTTTGAATTTGTTGGTTTTGATGATCCCTGCGATGGTGTCGTTCGAGATCAAGGTGATGGGTTTGGGTTTGGGGCGGTCTGCGTGTTCGTCTTTCGATTTGAAGCAGTTAGAGCACAGTTCCTTCTTCCAAGCATTCTGCACGAAGTTTTGGCAAATGGCAGAAGACATGGCTCGGGTTCAGGTCCTGTAATTACGATTATTAAGTTTAAGATTCTTAAAAAAAAAGAAACTGCGTTGAACTGGCTTTCGAGTTACGACGACCGGTCAAAATTCCTTCCATACTACGCTCTCGAAAACAAGATCGCGTTCATTCAAGTTCTTGTAGGCCCTAAATGGAGATGACATCAACTTTTACGCTTCTTTTTTTAATACTTGTACCGGTTCGGTAACCTACATCCTAAATGCTTTACCGAACGGGCCAGATCTGTGCCAATGAGATGAAGACGTAAAAGAGGATATCAATATTCTGATACGAAGAGTCAACGTGTGACCTAAGCCCCTAGGGTTCTGTTAAGTGGTCCGAGCAACGACATGCCGTCCACCTGTCACAATGAGCGCATTCATACTATATTGCCGCAAATTGAAATGAATGAAAAGAAGAATGCCGTCTGGGCCGCAGATGGTCATCTAGTGGATAGTTTAGATGGGAGACATCTTAATGAACACATGTTTATGTGGTATAAATTTCATTTAATTTCGTTTTCAAACGCTTGGGATAAGTTGAACTTCATAATGACCACCTATATAGACATTAATTAATGCCAGCTTTGCAATTACGTAATTTAGATTGTAAACTATAATTTAGGATTCATTTTCTTTGTTAACTGTTAATTTAAATAAATCGTTGTTGACGTCAAGTAATAATATAGTAAATCAGGAATACCATACCGATTAAGGGGGAACGCTAGACGAGAGACAAGTTTGAACTTGGCGCCATTTGTTGCCTTAAACGCAACCAGCAATTCTTCTTTAAAACTACCTGACGCGCTTCTTATTATTTAGATAAGGGTTAAGGGAACAAATTAAATGCACAGTTCTATTTTTAAACGCTTTGTATTTTTGCTCGGTAAAAATGATAAATGCTAAGTTATATAATAAATGCTCAGTTAAAAAATTAATTCTCAGTAAAAATAATATATGCTTGGTGAAATAATAGCTGCTTAGTTAAATTAATAACTGTTCGGTTAAATAAGGAATGCTTAGTAAGAACCCGTCAAGTGCAGCACAACAAATGATACTCCTGCAGAAGGCGCAAATTAAAAAATGAAATATACTTAAAATGGACAACAAATCGGAAAAATCGAAAAATCAAAACACCCAAAAATCGAAGCATTAAAAAATCAAAAAATTAAAATATCTGAAAATTGAAAGTCCAGAAATTGAAAAGTTCTCAATATTCAAATCCTGAAAAATAGAGTATTGAAAACTTGAAAAATTGAGAAATCCAAGCATAAAAAAATAGTAGAATTGTGAAATCGAAACACCAAAAAACTCAAAAAAACAAAAATCTAAAATTCAAAAACCAAAAAATTGAAAATTCGAAACATCGGAATGTTCAAAAACTGAAACATCGAGAAATCAAAACATCAACAGTAGAGGAGTCAAAAAATCAAAAAATTAAGAAATCAAATTAGACGAAAATTGAAAAATCGAAAAGTTAATAATTGAAAAATTGAAACATTTTAAATGAAAAAAAAAAACGGTAAACCGAAAAATTGAAAAATCTAAAAATCGAGAAATTGAACAATCTAAAAATTAAACAATTTAAAAATCCAAAAATTGGAAAACCAAAAAATCTAAACCGAGAACTTGAAAAATCGAATAATCGAGAAAACAAAACATCAAGGAAAACAAAAAAATTAACGGAAAATCTAGAACTTCAAAATTGAAAAATTAAAATACCTATCAGAAAATTGAAAAACCGAGAAATCGAAACATCAAATAATGGAAAAATTGAAGAACCGAAACATTGCAAAATTCCAGAACTGAAATACTGAAAAGCTGAAAAATGGAAAGAACATTGAAGAATCGGAAAAGTGAAAAAATCCAAAACTGAAACATTGAAAAATTCAGAAATCGAAAAATTGAAAAATCACAATTGAAGAAAGAATTGAAAAAGCGAGAAATAGAGAAATGGGAAAATAAAAAAATCAGTTAATCGAAAAATTGAGAAATCGAAAAATTTAGAAACGTCAAAAATTGAACACTGAAAAATAAAAAATTTTTAAAATCGTAAAACTGAAACATCAGAAAATTGAGAAATCGAAAAATGAAGAAATTCGAGAAACCGAAAATATGATGAATCGAGAAATCGAAGAATCGATAAATTGAAAAATCCCAACAGTAATATATCGAAAAATTGAGAAATCGAAATCGAGCAAAACTCAAGTATCGTAAAGTTAATAAATTGAAAAACTGAAAATTATTGAAAAAAAAAATCGTATCACAAACTAAAAATTCAAAAAATCGAGAAATTGAACAATAAAAAAATCAAAACATTGAAATCCCAGTAAGTTGATAAATAGGAAAATTTAAAAAACAAAATTTTTTAAAATCCAAGAATTGAACAACAAAAAAATCCAAGCCTGAAAACTCAGAAAATCGAATGATCGAGAACTCAAAACATCAAAGAAAACAAAAAATCTAAAATTTAAAAATTCGACAAATTGAAAAATCATGGAACTGAAAAATCGAAAAGTCGAGATAGTGAGAAATCTAAAAACCTAAAACTTGAAAAAGTGAAAAATTAAAATATCGAAAAAATTAAAAACCGAGAAAACACAATATCAAAAATTTGAAAAACTGGAGGAACGAAATATTGCAAAATTCCAGAACTGAAATACTGAAAAACTGAAAAATGGAAGGAAAATTGAAAAAATCCAAAACTGAAACATTGAAAAATTCAGCAATCGAAAAATTGAAAAATCACAATTGAAGAAAGAATTGAAAAATTGAGAAATAGAGAAATGGGAAAATAAAAAAATCAGTTAATCGAAAAATTGAGAAATCGAAAAATTTAGAAACGTCAAAAATTGAAAACTAAAAAATAAAAAAATTTTAAAATCGTAAAACTGAAACATCGGAAAATTGAGAAATCGAAAAATGAAGAAATTCGAGAAACCGAAAATATGATGAATCGAGAAATCGAAGAATCGATAAATTATTGAGAAATCGAAATCGAGCAAATCTGAAGTATCGTAAAGTTAATAAATTGAAAAACTGAAAATTTTTGAAAAAAAAATTGTATCACAAACTAAAAATTCAAAAAATCGAGAAATTGAACAATAAAAAAATCAAAACATTGAAATCCCAGTAAGTTGATAAATACGAAAATTTAAAAAACAAAAATTTTAAAAATCCAAGAATTGAACAACAAAAAAATCCAAGCCTGAAAACTCAGAAAATCGAATGATCGAGAACTCAAAACATCAAAGAAAACAAAAAATCTAAAATTTAAAAATTCGACAAATTGAAAAATCATGGAACTGAAAAATCGAAATGTCGAGATAGTGAGAAATCTAAAAACCTAAAACTTTAAAAAGTGAAAAATTAAAACATCGAAAAAGTTAAAAACCGAGAAAACACAATATCAAAAATTTGAAAAATTGGAGAAACGAAATATTGCAAAATTCCAGAACTGAAATACTGAAAAACTGAAAAATGGAAGGAAAATTGAAAAATCGAAAAAGTGAAAAAATTCATAACTGAAATCTTGAAAAACTGAAAAATGGAAAGAAAATTGAAGAATCGGAAAAGTGAAAAAATCCAAAACTGAAACATTGAAAAAATCAGAAATCGAAAAATTGAAAAATCACAATTGAAGAAAGAATTGAAAAATCGAGAAATAGAAAAGTGGGAAAATAAAAAAATCAGTTGATCGAAAAATTGAGAAATCGAAAAATTTAGAAACGTCAAAAATTGAAAACTGAAAAATAAAAAAATTTTAAAATCGTAAAACTGAAACATCGGAAAATTGAGAAATCGAAAAATGAAGAAATTCGAGAAACCGAAAATATGATGAGTCGAGAAATCGAAGAATCGATAAATTGAAAAATCCCAACAGTAATATATCGAAAAATTGAGAAATCGAAATCGAGCAAAACTGAAGTATCGTAAAGTTAATAAATCGAAAAACTGAAAATTTTTGAAAAAAAAATCGTATCACAAACTAAAAATTCAAAAAATCGAGAAATTGAACAATAAAAAAATCAAAACATTGAAATCCCAGTAAGTTGATAAATAGGAAAATTTAAAAAACAAAAATTTTAAAAATCCAAGAATTGAACAACAAAAAAATCCAAGCCTGAAAACTCAGAAAATCGAATGATCGAGAACTCAAAACATCAAAGAAAACAAAAAATCTAAAATTTAAAAATTCGACAAATTGAAAAATCATGGACCTGAAAAATCGAAAAGTCGAGATAGTGAGAAATCTAAAAACCTAAAACTTTAAAAAGTGAAAAATTAAAATATCGAAAAAGTTAAAAACCGAGAAAACACAATATCAAAAATTTGAAAAATTTGAGAAACGAAATATTGCAAAATTCCAGAACTGAAATACTGAAAAACTGAAAAATGGAAGGAAAATTAAAGAATCGAAACAGTGAAACTTGAAAAATTGAGAAATGGAGAAATGGGAAAATACAAAAAATTCCCTTAAATCTAGTGTCGTGGATAAAGTGTCACGCTGCTTGTCAAAATGGGCGAATACGCCGGCGAAGCCGCCACCGCCGCCGTCCCCGGCGAGGGCGCCCCCGTCTTCGTCTCCACAACCGCCCCCTCCCTCAGCGAAGTAATCAAATACAAGAAACTCTCCTTCGAAGAAGCCTCCCGCTGCCTCAACATGTTGGGCAAAGACGAAACCGGGAGTCGCTACGCCTACCTCATGATCACGGCCACCGACCAGAAGCTGACCGACGTTTCGATCATCCTCAGTTTCAAGCACGTGTTTTTTCTGGACCTCAGCGGCAACTACCTCACCACTGAGGCCCTCCAGGTCCTCGTAGCGATGCCGTTTTTGATTCTTCTCAAAGCCGAGAGGAATCGCGTCGATTCTGCGTCTCTGGACACCATGCACTACCTGCAAGTCTTGGATCTCAACCAGAACCAAATCAAGAACGTGGAGAACATAAACCAGCCGCTGCTGGATGTGTTGGAGCTGAATTTTAACGATATTTATATTACGCGGTTCGAGACTGCCAACTTGGAGAAGTTGAAGCAGTTGGAGTTGAGAAGTAATTTGTTGTTTGAGATTAGCGGGACGTTTCCGCTTAGTATTGAGAAGATGTATTTGGCGGGTAATAAGATTAGTGTGATTACGTCGCCGGATTTTGCTAAGATGGCGCATTTGGAGGTGTTGCATCTTCGGGACAATAATTTGCAGCAGTTGGATGGGTTCTCGGAAGCGATGGTCAAACTCAAGTATCTCAATTTGAGGAATAATAAGATTGGAAACTTTAAGGAGTTTAAGAAGTTGCAGTGTTTGCCGAATTTAGAGACGTTGATTGTTCTGGGGAATCCTTTACCGGGTAACAAAATTTTCGTCAGTTTCTTCTTTCAAGAAAATCGCTCATGGTTGTTCTCATATTCTCTTCTATTAAATTGAATTTTTATCGCTTCTATGTAGTTTACACATAGAAGCCGTCTAGAATCTTGTCGAATTCACCTTAAGTTTTCTCGTTAATCTGAATCAAACACTGAAATCAAAGCTCTTCTGTTTCTTCTCTTTTGAAGATAGAATTCTTTTTAAATCCAGCATCGAAGTACAAATTCTATGCATTCTCTCTTTAAAGTTTCCAATTTTTCATCTAAATGATTCTTTTTTGGTTTTGGCTATAAAATGGCGTCCTCAGCTAGATCTGCTACGTTTTCTTCGACGTCACGTAGGATTTCAAACTTCTGTATCGCTTCTAGTTTAGAGACAGAAGCCTTCTAGAATTTTTTCGAACTTGTCGCACGACAGTCGAAGATCTTCTATTTTGTCTATTTCAATCTAGAATTCTTATAGAATCCAGTCCCAAAGTCAAAATTTTTCCCTTTAATGTGTGCATTTCCTACTATCAACTAAATTATCCCTTCTTCAATGCCACATAAAATTTCAAACTTATCTATCGCGTCTATCTCTAGAAATAATCTTTTAGAACTCGCTTTATTTAACTTATTTCACCGAAATCAAAGATCCTCTATTTCTTTCTATCATCATCTAAATGATTCGTTCATGCTTCCGGTTGTAAAATAGCGTCCTCGGCTGTCCTCAGCTAGATCTTCTATATATATTCTTCTAAGTCACATAGAATTTCAAACTTCCCTATCGCTTCTATCTCTAGAAAAAATATTTTTGAACGCGTCTTATTTAACTTCTCGCACTCAAATCAAAGATCTTCTATTTTTTCTCTCCCAAGATAGAATTTGTCTAGAATTCAGCCTCGAAGTAAAAGTTTTTTCCACCCTCTCTTTGATGTGATAGAAAATGCTATCATCATCTAAAGTAAATGAACCTTCCTTGGTTTCAGCTGTAAAACAGCGGCCTCTACTAGATTTTCTACATCTATTCTGCTAGGTCAACTAAATCTATAAAACTACCCTTGAGACTAGAAGCGAAAAAGAATTACAAACTTCTTTTTCGCTTCTAGTCTCAAGGGTAGTTTTATAGATTTTTTTAACTCATATTATGTATTTAACTTTTCCCTGGAATTTCAATCTCCTGCCGAAATCAAAAGTCTTATGTTTTCCCTTTTCTAGATAGAATTATTCCAAAATTTAGTTTCAAAGTAAAAATTCTTTACATCCTCTCTTAATATGCATATTTTCTATGTCGTCTAAATGATTCTTTCTTAATTCCGGTTGTAACATAGTGTCCTCAGCTAAAACTTCTACATCTATTCATCTATGTCACTTAGAAATTCAAAATTTTCTATTGCTTCTAGTTTCGAGACCGAAACCTTCTAGAAATTTGTCGAACTCACCGTGTTTAACTTCTCTCGGCAATGTCAAATCTCGCACCGAAAGCAAAGCTCTTCTGTTTTTTTTCCCTTTTCTAGGTAGAATTCTTATAGAATTCAACCTTGAAGTCAAAATTCCGTACATTTTCTTTTTAATGTGTGCATTTTCTATTCATCTAAATGATCCTTCCTTGGATTCGGCTGTAAAATAGCGCCCTCTTCTAAATTTTCTACATCTGGTCACATGGTAGTTAAAGCGTCTAAATCTACGTTCTTCCTTTCCTTTGAATTTCAATCTAGTGCCGAAATCAAAGGTCCTCTGTTTTTCCCTTTTCTAGATAGAATTCTTCTAGAATTCAGTCTCAAAGTAAAAAATCTTCTGTTAATATGCGCATTTTCTATGTCGTCTAAATGATGCTTTCTTAATTCCCGTTGTAAAATAGCGTTCTCAGCTAGATCTTCCACATCTATTCATCTGTCACATAGAAATTCGATTTTTTCTAGTGCTTCTAGTTACGAAAGAGAAACCTTGTAGAATCTTGTCGAACTCACCTTGTTTAACTTATCTCGACAATCTCAATCTCGTACCGAAAGCACAGCTCTTCTGTTTCTTCCTTTTTCTAGGTAACATTCTTCTAGAGTCTTCTAGAATTCAACCTCGAAGTAAAAATTCCGTAAATCTTTTCAATGTGTACATTTTCTATTGTCATCTAAATGATCCTTCCTTGGTTTCGGCTGTGAAATAGCGTCCTCTGTTAGATTTTTTACATCTATTCTTCTAGGTCAAAATTCTTTTTCGCTTCTAGTTTCAAGATGGAAATGTTCTAGATTTTTTTCAACTCATTTAACTTTTCCATGGAATTTCAATCCCGCACTGAAATCAAGAGTCTTCGGTTTCATCATTTTTCAGCATAGAATTCTTCTAGAATCCAGGATCGAATTCTAAATTCTATACATCCTCTTTTTAATCTTTGCAATTTTCCATGATATAAATTATTATTTTTTTGGTTAGACTATGAAATACCGTCCTCGGCTAGATCTTGTACATCTATTCATCTATGTTAAGTAGAAATTTTTATTTCTTTATTGCTTCTAGTTTGGAGACAGAAACCTTCTAGATCTTTGTCGAATTCACCTTGCTTAACTTCTCTGGCAAAGCTATTCTGTTTCTTCCTTTTTCTAGGTAAAATTCTTTTAGAATTCAAACTCGAAAGCCAAAATGCCGTACATCTTTTTAATGTGTGCATTTTCTATTATCATCTAAATGATCCTTCCTTGGTTTCGGCTGTAAAATAGCGTCTTCTGCTAGATTTTCTACATCTATTCTTCTAAGTTACATGGGATTTCAAACTTTTTTTTGCTTGCCAAGATGGAAGTTTTCTACAATTTTTTTGATCTTATTATGTACTTGACTTTTCTCTGGAATTTCAGTCTCGTACCGAAATCAAAGGTCTTTTGTTTTTTCCCTTTTCTAGATAGTGCTTCTAGAATTTTTGTTTCAAATTAAAAATTCTTTAAATCTTGTCTTAATGTATTTTCTATGTCGTCTAAATGATCCTTTCTTAATTCCGGTTGTACAATAGCGTCCTCAGATAAATCTTCATCTATTCGTCTATGTCATGTAGAAATTAAAATTTTCCATTCCTTCAAGTTTCGAGACAGAAACCCTCTAGAACCTTGTCGAACTCATCTTGTTTAATTTCTCTCGGCAATTTCAATCTCGCACCAAAAGGAGAGCTCTTCTGTTTCTTCCCTTTCTACGTAGAGTTCTGCTAAATAGCGTCCACTGCTAGATTTTCTACATCTATGCTTCTAGGTACGTAGAATTTCGAACTTCTCTTTCGTTTCTAGTTTCAAGATGGCATTTTTCTAGAATTTTTTTGAGTTCGATGTTTGATTTTTCCCTGGAATGTTGATCTCCTGCCGAAACCGAAAGTCTTCTGTTTTTCCTTTTTCTAGATAGAATTCTTCTAGAATTTTTGTTTCAAAGTAAAAATTCTTTACGCCTTCGGTTAATATCCGTATTTTCGATCTCATCCAAATGATCCTTTCTTAATTCCAGTTGTAAAATAGCCTCCTCCGGTAGAACTTTTACATCTACTCATCAATGTCACGTAGAAATTCAAATTTTTCTATTGCTTCTAGTTTCAAGACAGAAATCTCCTAGAATCTTGTCGAACTCACCTTGTTTAACCTCTCTCGGCAATCTCAATCTCGCACCGAAAGCAAAGCTCTTCTGTTTCTTCCGTTTCTACGTAGAATTCTGTTAAATAGCGTCCAATGCTAGATTTTCTACATCTATTCTTCTAGATCATGTGGGGTTTCAAACTTCTTTTTCACTTCTAGTTTCAAGATGAAAGTTTCCTAGATTTTTTTGGACTCATATTGTGTATTTAATTTTTCCCTGAGATTTCAATCTCGTGCCGAAATCAAAGGTCTTCTGTTTTTCCCTTTTCTAGATAGAATTCTTCTAGAATTCAAACTCGAAGTCGTTACCTCTTTTCTTTAGTTTGCACATTTTCTATCAACATGTAAATGATTCTGGTTGCAAACTAGCGTGCTCATCTACATCTTTTACATCTACCCGTCTATGTTATGTAGAATTTCGAACTTCTCTTTCCTTTCTAGTTTCAAGATGGCATTTTTTTTTGAGTTCAATATTTGATTTTTCCCTGGAATGTTAATCTCCTGCCGAAACCAAAGGTCTTCTGTTTTTTCCCTTTTCTAGATAGAATTCTTCTAGAATTTTTGTTTCAAAGTAAAAATTCTTTACGGCTTCGGTTAATATCCGTATTTTCTATCTCATCCAAATGATCCTTTCTTAATTCCAGTTGTAAAATAGCGTCCTCCGCTAGAACTTTTACATCTATTCATCTATGTCACGTCGAAATTCAAATTTTTCTATTGCTTCTAGTTTCGAGACAGAAACCTCCTAGAATCTCGTCGAACTCACCTTGTTTAACCTCTCTCGGCAAACGCAATCTCACACCGAAAGCAAAGCTCTTCTGTTTCTTCCTTTTCTACGTAGAATTCTGTTAAATAGCGTCCACTGTTAGATTTTCTACATCTATTCGTCTAGATCACGTGGGGTTTCAAACTTCTTTTTCACTTCTAGTTTCAAGATGAAAGTTTCCTAGATTTTTTTTAGACTCATATTGTGTATTTAATTTTTGCCTGGAATTTCAGTCACGTGACAAAATCAAAGGTCTTCTCTTTTTCCCTTTTCTAGATAGAATTCGTCTAGGATTCAAACGCAAAGTCGTTACCTTTTTTTCTTTAGTGTGTACATTTTCTATCAACATGTAAATGATTCTGGTTGCAAAATAGCGTGCTCATCTACATCTTTTACATCTACCCGTCTATGTTATGTAAAATTTCGAACTTCTCTTTCCTTTCTAGTTTCAAGATGGCATTTTTCTAGAATTTTTTTGAGTTCAATATTTGATTTTTCCCTGGAATGTTAATCTCCTGCCGAAACCAAAGGTCTTCTGTTTTTCCCTTTTCTAGATAGAATTCTTCTAGAATTTTTGTTTCAAAGTAAAAATTCTTTACGCCTTCGGTTAATATCCGTATTTTCCATCTCATCC